ATTTTTGACAATAAAATTTGTTATCTATTACCAAGAAATAGAAGGAAACAAAGAATAAAGTAGTAATGCTAAGACTCTAAGGTAATATTAGGTAAGGTACATATTAATGTCACTTAACTTATTCAAAATCAAATGTTTTTTTCAGTAAGTAGGAATAGTTAGGAATTTTTAGTGTCTAGAATTATGGTAAACCTTCATTTAATGATATAGTCTTAAGTTTGACTATAGAGCTCCTGCAAGACTCTTGAGTACCTTTCTTTTGTTTTTAAACTCTTGTTTGGAAGTAATTTCAAACTGCAGACAGTTGCACAAATAAACGTGGTACCAAAAAAGAAAAAAAAAAACAACCTTATATGCCCAGATGTTACCTACCCAAACCTGGTTGCCTGCTTTATCATTTAAATATGCTTGCCTGTGTCCTCTTGCAGACTCTCACTCTTCTCCTCCGTCCCCTCATTCACACTTGTTTTTCTTTTTCTTTTTTTTTTTTTTTTTTTTTTTTTTTTTTTGAGACGGAGTTTCACTCTTGTTACCCAGGCTGGAGTGCAATGGCGCGATCTCGGCTCACCGCAACCTCCGCCTCCTGGGTTCAGGCAATTCTCCTGTCTCAGCCTCCTGAGTAGCTAGGATTACAGGCACGCACCACCATGCCCAGCTAACTTTTTGTATTTTTAGTAGAGACGGGGTTTCACCATGTTGACCAGGATGGTCTCGATCTGTTGACCTCGTGATCCACCCACCTCGGCCTCCCAAAGTGCTGGGATTACAGGCTTGAGCCACCGCGCCCGGCACACTTGTTTTTCTTGAAATATTTGAGGATAAGTTAAGTATACATCATGGTCCTTTACTCCTAAATACATCAGTGTATATTTCCTAATAGAGACATTCTCTTACATAATTACGAAAGTTAAAAGCTTTATCCATTTGTATGAATACAATACCATCCATGCATGAGTTTTGTCAGTTCACGTAATACCGTCCTTTATAGCATCCTCTACCCCAATACAGCATCTAGTCTAGGGTCAGATATTGCATTTATTTGTTACATTAGCCTCTTTTTATCTAGTTTTTTTTTTTTCCACAGCCTTTCTTTGTCTGACACTGAGATTTTTGAAGAATAATAGTTTCTCTGTTATTTTATTTTAAAAGTGGAATTTTCCTCACTTTGTGCTTGTCCATTGTTTCTTTGTGCTGAGATTCAGGTTGTACATTCTTGGCTGGAATACTACATAGGTGATGTGGCCTCTCTCAGGGCAGCTAACGCTCATTGATGATTTTTACTTTTGGTTATCCAATCAAGGTATTATTTCCACTATATAATATATAACTTTTATTTTTTAATTTCTTGTAACTAATAAGTATTCTGTAGGTAGACACTCTAGACCATGTAGATATTCTGTTCTTCATCAAAATTTCCACCTCAATTTAGCACCTTGCTGATTCTAGTCTGACTCAGTCTTTACTCTGATGGTGGCAAAATGCTATTTTTTCCAACTCCAGCCCTTCCTTTTCCCTCGTATGTTATTTATTTTATGTTTGCTATTGGTATGAACATGTGAATTCCTTTTTTTTAAAATTCAGTACTTAATTATTTTGGTGCTTAAATTGTCCTAGATTTGGCCAGTGGCATGCCCCCACCCTTTTTGAGCACATCCTTGCTTTCTGAAAGAATAAGATGGTAAAGTCTCATCTTGTATCTACCCTGCCCTATCCCTGGAATCCACCATTTCTTTGAGAAGCCCTGGTTCCTTTTGGTGGAGAATGGAATTAGATAACAAAATTTGGGCAACAGTATGAGTGCACTACTTTTACAGCTACTGGATAAATATAAATGTATAAAGATTAGCAGACCTGATAAGTGTTTCTTGGAGGTACAGTGAACAATTTGTTAGAATATCATGGTGTCTCAGATTATAGTTACAACAAAAAGCAAACTTAAGGAATGGGAAGATCAGCACACTTATATTGCCAAAATTTTCTTAGATTTTGAAGCAAAAATATATATGATGCTAGGTTGAAGGCCAGATAGGATTTCTGTGAACAGAGTTGGTATAGAAGGATGTTCCAGAGAGAAGAAATGACATTGACAATGACATACTGAACAATATCAGTAACATTAAATGTTGTGTTTAAATAAATACCTGATTTCTACCCAGGCATAAATGCCTGATTTCTACCCCTGATTTCTAATCAGGCATTTCAAAGTAATGCCTGATTACTTTGGGGAGAAGTAAAAGACAGGCATGACAGGTTTGTTTAAGGTCAGATTTAGAGGACTTGAATGTCCTCTGAAGGATTTTGGATCTTTAGGATTTGGTGTCTTTATTAAGAAGATAATAGCTGTTGAAAATTTTTAAAGTGTCATAACAAGCTTAACTCAGACTCAAAGAGATTAATCTGGAAGATACATAGAAGACTAAGGAAATGTCCACTTAAGAACTGTAAAGAGGTAGCCGGGCGCAGTGGCTCAAGCCTGTAATCCCAGCACTTTGGGAGGCCGAGGCGGGTGGATCACAAGGTCAAGAGATCGAGACCATCCTGGCCAACATGGTGAAACCCCGTCTCTACTAAAAATACAAAAAATTAGCTGGGCATGGTGGTGCGTGCCTATAATCCCAGCTACTCAGGAGGCTGAGGCAGGAGAATTGCCTGAACCCAGGAGGCGGAGGTTGTGATGAGCCGAGACCGTGCCATTGCACTCGAGCCTGGGTAAAAAGAGCGAAACTCCGTCTCAAAAAAAAAAAAAAAAAAAAAAAAAAAGAACTGTAAAGAGGCTATTATAGTAGCTCAGGTAGAAGCTAATAAGGATTTGACCTAGAAAATGAAAGAAAGAAATGAATTAGAATAGTGATTTTTTAATCTGTCCTCCAAAACCCCAGGTTTGGGGGCAAAGTAGATGTATGAGTTGAACACCAAATGAGAACTCTCAGTTACTGTATGCAAGGTTTCAAGTAAGTATCACTTTAAAGAAAGCCTTCTGCCGCTTAAAGAACAAAAAACTATGGAGAGAAATTTTGTTAATTCATACTTCTTTCATATTCCCATTTTCTAAAGTTTTGAGCCTGGATAATCAGGAAAATAGTTGTGTCATTAATTGAAGTAGATCAACTTATACATTTTTTAAATGCAAATGTCAATGTCACAAAGACATGTACTGAAACTCTTACTGAAGAGATAAGATACTCTTGGCCAGAAAGCTTGGAATTATCCTGGACTCCATTCTTTTGCTCACGCCATAAAGAGAATCCACTATGAAATCCTATTGGCTTTACTTTTGATTTTATCCCAAACCTGACCACCTTAAACAGCTCAACTGCCTATCAACTAATCTCGTAAGTTCCACCTGCTTTCTCTTCCTCAGCTCTTGCCTCTCAGCCTGTTCACTTTCCTTGTGGTTTTTCAAACGTGATGGGTTACTTCCATCCAAGAGCCTTTGCAAAGCCTGGCCTGGCCTGGTTAACTTTCTCATGTTTAAGACTTTGCCTAAATGTTAGTTTCTCAGTGAGGTCTACCCTGAGTTCTTTATTGATAATCCCCACTCCACCCCATGCATATTTACCATTCTTCCTTTATCTTGTTCCTTTTTTTTTTTTTTTTTTTTTTTTGAGACGGAGTTTCGCTCTTGTTACCCAGGCTGGAGTGCAATGGCGCCATCTCGGCTCACCGCAACCTCCGCCTCCTGGGCTCAGGCAATTCTGCCTCAGCCTCCCGAGTAGCTGGGATTACAGGCGCGCGCCACCATGCCCAGCTAATTTTTGTATTTTTAGTAGAGACGGGGTTTCACATGTTGACCAGGATGGTCTCGATCTCTTGGCCTCGTGATCCACCCGCCTCGGCCTCCCAAAGTGCTGGGATTACAGGCTTGAGCCACCGCGCCCGGCTGTTCCATTTTTTTTTTAAAGGCATTTAGCACCTAACATACCATCTAATTTACTTATATACTAAGTTGTTTGTCTTGTGACACCAGAGTTTATGCTTCACAAAGGCAGTGATTTGTTTATTTTGCTCACTGATCTATCCCAACCATCAGAATGTACCAGGCCATAGGTAGGCCCTTAATAAGCATTGTTAAAAGAAGAAAGGGCAACCAAGAACACAAAACCAGTAAGCTTAGTTACCAGGCTTCTAGCTCATTGCAGATTTGAGAAAGCAAATACAAGAAGGGATGGGATACTGCTTGAGGCAATATCTCCAAACCTGTGTTCCTTGGAGCTGAGTCTATGATAGTAATTGGCCTTGATAAAAATAGCCCTAGAAAAATACTGCACATATTATCTATTTACTAGAAAATCATATTACATGTTAACATGTTAATGACTATAAGAGCTCCTATAGTAACCGCTTCTTGAACTCACTTGATCATAAAACTCCCTTCTGGTAGTTTACCTACCACTATGGGACCCTCTTGGCCCATGGTAAACTGAGTTTGAGAAAAACTTTATTGGAATACTGTGTGTAGGGCCTGGGGGTCGTTGGCAGTTCTTTTAAATTACTTTTGGTTGATGGGCTGTGCTGTGTCATGTGCTACTCAGAAGGAGGCTGAAGTACATCAGGCTCAAGACTCCAGCTCTTAATTACTGTTCTTTAAACCGTATGACCCTTTTATTTTTCTGGGAGAAATAAGAAAAAAATTATTAAAGTTACAGCCCTTTCAAAAAGTTGCTTCTGCCGGGCGCGGTGGCTCAAGCCTGGAATCCCAGCACTTTGGGAGGCCGAGGCGGGTGGATCACAAGGTCAAGAGATCGAGACCATCCTGGTCAACATGGTGAAACCCCGTCTCTACTAAAAATACAAAAATTAGCTGGGCATGGTGGCACGTGCCTGTAATCCTAGTTACTCAGGAGGCTGAGGCAGAAGAATTGCCTGAACCTGGGAAGTGGAGGTTGCGGTGAGCCGAGATCGCGCCATTGCACTCCAGCCTGGGTAACAAGAGCGAAACTCCATCTCAAAAAAAAAAAAAAAAAAGAAAAAAGAAAAAAAAAAAGTTGCTTCTGTTTTAGGTGTTTGGGAATAAGGTGATCATTCCTTCCCTGGATGGAGACCTCTTCCAGTGGGACCGAGACCGTGAGAGCATGGAAACAGTTCCTTTCACAGTTGAATCACTTCTTGAATCGTCTTATAAATTTGGAGATGATGTTGTTTTGGTTGGAGGAAAATCTCTTACTACGTATGGACTCAGTGCATATAGTGGAAAGGTAAGTGAAAATGCTGAATTTACTTTGGGGAAATCAGAATAAGATAGAAAAAATAATTTATTGAACTATACTTATTACTAGTTGGGGTTTACTGTAATTTTTTCCTGATATTGTATTTATTTTAATAAGAGAACTGTGACATAGGAAGTGGAAACTAGTAACAATAAATGGCAGAGCCAGGAATAGCAGGAGGGAGAGAATTAGTAAATATGGTCTAATGTGTCTCAGGTGCTTTTTTTTTTTTTTTTTTTTTTTTTTTTTTTGAGATGGTCTCACTGTGTTGCCCAGGCTGATCTCAGCTCTATTCCATGCCCCCTCAGTTTCAAGTGGGTTCAAGTGATTCTCGTGCCTCACCCTCCTGAGTAGCTGGGATTACAGGCACGCTCCACCATGCCTGGCTAATTTTTGTATTTTTAGTAGAGTCAGGGTTTTACCATGTTGGCCAGGCTGGTCTCTAACTCCTGGCCTTAAGTGATCCTCCCACTTCGGCCTCCCAAAGTGCCAGGTTTACAGGCATGAGCCACTGTGCCCAGTCTCAGGTGCTTTTTTTGTACATTATTTTGCAATCTTACAGTCTTCCTAAGGGTAACTTTTTTTTTTTTTTGGCTCTTCATTTTGACAGATGAAGAACCTTCTAAAGATTAATAATAATCCTAATGATAAGAATAATTGCTACTACTCATTTATATAGTTTGATCGTATAATAAGCTGATCCAAAAGGAAAGTTTGCACTCATTTTATAGATGAGGAAACTGAGATTTTAAAGGTTCAGAGATTTCCAAGGTCAGATTTAACTTAGATCTAGGTGACAACAAAGTCATGCTATTAATAACCTAGACTTTCTCCAACATTAGCTCTTGAGATATAATTATAACATAATCTGCTTCTAAGATTAGGTCTTATAAATGCACTATTAAGAGTAACTAATTAAAAACATCCTTTCAGCCAGGCAGGTGGCTCAAGCTTGTAATCCTAGCACTTTGGGAGGCCAAGGTGGTTGAATCACTTGAGGCCAGGCAAGACCAGCCTGGCCAACATGGTAAAACCCCATCTCTACTAAAAATAAAAAAATTAGCTGGGAATGGTGGCACATGCATGCCAGTAGTCCCAGCTATTCAGGAGGCTGAGATAGGAGAATCACTTGAACTGGGAGGTGGAGGTTGCAGTGAGCTGAGATCATACCACTGCACTCCAATTTGTGCAACAGACTGAGACTCCACTTTAAAAAAATAACAAAAATCAATAAATAAAAACATCCTTTCTTATAAGGTAAAAAATAAAAATCTTTGTAACCCTTTAACACCCCAACTTGTAAACATTGTGTATACATTATATCATATTCTTCCTTGGACTAAAATAAGGAAGAATAGAAATATGATCTTTTTACTCTTGATTTTTTTCAACTGTAAAAATTCCTTATCTAAGTGTTAGGCCCATAGCACTTTCTTGCTCTTGCAGATGCTTTTCTGCCTTCTCCACTCATGTGCATCTGCATTGTATTGAGGAGGCCATGCCATCCTGTCTGGCCGTTTTTTGAGCAAGCACTTTAATCTCTGTTTACTTCAGTAGTCTTGTCTGTAAACAAACAGGTGATTGAACCCAATCATCTGGTTTTCTGATTTGATATTGCTGCTACATAATTCTGATATTATAGAAGGTATGCTTCTTTTCATGAGGATTTTAGTTTGGATCATATTAAGTCTTCCTTTTTTGTTTTAGTGAAAGTTTGAGGGAGTTACTTTTGAACACAAAAAGCTATCAAAAGTTTCAAATTTTTAAAAACCAAATACTTCTGTTATACAGAAACTCTAAGATTGACTTTTTTTAAACTCACCTGAAATTTTATTAATGGTATTGTTACAAAGCTATCACAAGTGCCTATCCATTTCTTCTTGTATATTCCATGGAAATCCCCAAAGCAAGGCTAAAATTATGTAAACCCTTAAAATCATTCCCTGAAATAAATATTCATTGGTACTGTCATGGTTCTAAATAACTCATTTTAGGAGTTAGTAATCTAACTGATGCTTCTTATTACTTGAGTACTTCATGCACCTTTCCTTAGTTTCCTTTCACTTTTTAAAAATTACAGAGATTATTTTAATATTTCTGATCTCTTACGAGTTGTATTCTTTTACTAATTTTGTATCTAATTTTGTCTTTTCAGGTGAGGTATATCTGTTCAGCTCTGGGTTGTCGCCAATGGGATAGTGATGAAATGGAACAAGAGGAAGACATCCTGCTTCTACAGCGCACCCAAAAAACTGTTAGAGCTGTTGGACCTCGCAGTGGCAATGAGAAGTATGTGTTCAAATAGTATTGCTGTTGGTATTATTTAGAAATACATCTAATACCAAAATTTATTAGATTTCTGTTTGGAGATTTTCTGAACTGTTTTGTTGCCTTAAAACCTTTTTTTATTTTTGAGATGAAGTCTCACTCTGTTGTCCAGACTGGAGTACACTGACACAATATTGGCTTACTGCAGCCTCTGCCTCCCAGGTTCAAGTGATCAAGTGATCCTCCTGCCTCAGCCTCCCGAGTAGCTGGGATTATAGGTGCGTGCCACCATACCCAGCTGATTTTTGTATTTTTAGTAGAGATGGGGTTTCACCATGTTGGCCAGGCTGCTGTCAAACTCCTGACCTCAGGTGATCCTATGTGGTCCCTAAAATAAAAATGGTTTCATGGTTATTAACAGATTCTAAACTGAACTTCTCACCATATGCTTCAGGATGTGGTAACCACAGGGGTTCCCATGTGATGACTATTAGTTTAGTTTCAAGTTAATGGTATTTTTATAGCAACCTCATCACTCAAAGTTCTTTGAATACAGAAAGATGTTAAGACAAAATTGATGTGTTTCTTTGAGCTTGAACCTATTTGACTCTCTAATTATGTCTGGTAGGTAGTTTCATAGTTTGTCTGATTATCCTGATTTTAAAATAATAATCATTTTACTCAATTTTCATGAAGAATTAAAACATTTAGCCTAATACTTTTCTGTTTCCTTCTCTAAATAATGAGCCGCTTATGTAATTTTATATTTAAATATGTGATTTAAAAATGTGATACCTAGATTAGATATGCTGATCTTACATCACATGCTTGATTTTTTTAAACCTAATATTTAAGTTTTGAATTGCCTGTGTGTAAAAATAACTTTAGATTCCATCTTTATTTTTTGAAAATGAACCAGACTTTCAAGTTTTGTCTGATCTGATGCAGTGTAATTCAGTTTCCTTTCCTGAAAACTGTTCTCTCAAACTCAGTTAAGAATTCATTTATTCTTTTTGCTTTGGACTATGAATAGGGCTTTGCATTTGCAGACAACTTGACCTTCTTTATCCTGGCTGGATTTTGTTTTTTTAAGTGTTGGAGTGCTCACTGGGAGCTTAGCCACCATAGCAGCAGATGTCCAACTTAGCAGAATTTCGAGTTACTAGAATAGGAAGGATCTGGGATCCTAAGATCCATGATTCTTTTTTTTTTTTTTTTTTTTTTTTTTTTTTTTGAGACGGAGTTTCGCTCTTGTTACCCAGGCTGGAGTGCAATGGCACGATCTCGGCTCACCACAACCTCCGCCTCCTGGGTTCAGGCAATTCTCCTGCCTCAGCCTCCTGAGTAGCTGGGATTACAGGCACGTGCCACCATGCCCAGCTAATGTTTTGTATTTTTAGTAGAGACGGGGTTTCACCATGTTGACCAGGATGGTCTCGATCTCTTGACCTCGTGATCCACCCGCCTCGGCCTCCCAAAGTGCTGGGATTACAGGCTTGAGCCACCGTGCCCGGCCTAGATCCATGATTCTTTAAAACATAATTATTTCAATAAATGTCAGAATTCTTAACTATACCATTTTCTATCTAAGTGATAAGAAGCTATACTCCCAAGAGTTGAGTGATTTTTCTATTTACTAATTATAGAGAAAATGTTATTATTGCCACTTCATAGATAAGGCTGCTGAAACTTACTTAGGAAAGGTGACATTGATTGATGTGTTTTGGGAAAAACCACTCTCATGTAGAAGTGCAAACATTTGTACCTTTTTGAGAGAAAGTCTATCCCTTAGCTGTTGTAAGGGACACATCAGTCCGCCCACAACCCTCAGAACCATTGTGTCTGAAGGGTCAAGACAGAGTTCTTGTGGGCCCTCTTGTGGCATAAATCAGCAGAGCACTCCTTTCCAGAAGGTTATGTTGAGTTGTTCTTTTTCTCATCACATAATTTTAGTATTTGCTTCTTCAATCTAGAAGAGTTCTATGTTATTTTGTCCATTTATTTAAATGTGAATTTCTAAAACACACCTTTGTAAATTTAAGGTGGAATTTCAGTGTTGGCCACTTTGAACTTCGGTATATTCCAGACATGGAAACTAGAGCTGGATTTATTGAAAGCACCTTTAAACCCAATGAGAACACAGAAGAATCTAAAATTATTTCAGATGTGGAAGAACAGGAAGCTGCCATAATGGACATAGTGATAAAAGTTTCAGTTGCTGACTGGAAGGTTGTGGCATTCAGTAAGAAGGGAGGACATCTGAAATGGGAGTACCAGGTACCTAACACCCCTGAAGTTTTATAAATATGTTTCTTCCTCTCCCAGTTTGACCAAACTTATTGAGTAGAAGGAAATTACTACCACTTGGGGCTCTCAGCTTGTTCTCTGTGCTGATTTTTGAGATGTGTGATTTTTAAATGATCTTTTATGGGTTGGAACTACATAACTACTGCTTAGATTATTTAAGATCTTTTTTTCCTTTTTGTTTAGTTTTGTACTCCAATTGCATCTGCCTGGTTAGTTAAGGATGGGAAAGTCATTCCCATCAGTCTTTTTGATGATACAAGTTATACATCTAATGATGATCTTTTAGAAGATGAAGAAGACATTGTAGAAGCTGCCAGAGGAGCCACAGAAAACAGTGTTTACTTGGGTGAGTAAATGTATCTCATCTAATGGTAGTACACATTGACATCTAGATTGTCTTCTTACATTGTTCCTTCCTACTTCAGGAGTGCCTGTAGTAGTTTTAAATCCTAATATCATCTCTGATTTAAGTTGTCCTTAAGATTTATACATTGATTTCCATTCCTGCTACTTTCCCATTTGTCCAATTATGAAATTTTTTTTTCTTAACGGAGATGGGAGTTTTGCTATTGTCACCCAGGCTAGAGTACAATGGTGTGATCTCGGCTCACTGTAACCTCTGCCTCACGGGTTCAAGCAATTCTTCTGCCTCAGCCTCCTGAGTAGCTGGGATTACAGGCACCCACCACCATGCCCTTCTAATTTTTGTATTTTTAGTAGAGATGGGGTTTCATCACGTTGGCCAGGCTAGTCTTGGACTCCTGACTTTAGGTGATCCGCCCGCCTTGGCCTCCCAAAGTGCTGGGATTACAGGCGTGAGCCACTGCGCCTAGCCCAATTCTGAAATTTTTAATTATTGTCACACATTCTTTTTCTCTGAAACCTATATTAGAAAGGCTTAGAAATATTCTTATTATATAATACGATTTAAAATTACTCATTAGCTGGGCATGGTGGCACACCTCTGTAATCCTAGCTACTTGGGAGGTTGAGGTGGGGGTATCGCTTGACCCCAGGAGTTAAAGGCTACCCCAAACTATAATCATGCCACTGCACTCCTACCTGGGTGTTAGGGCAACACTCTATCTATTTCTACATATATAATTATATATAATTATATGTAATTACATAGAAAATATGTTTGTGTGATTAGCTATGTATCTTCAAAGTCTACAATTTTCTATATATGTATTTGCATCCATATCAGTTTTTGCCCCTCCCCCTTTATTTCTTTTTTATCTATATTTGTTTTTAACTATATTTATTTCTTTTTTATCTATATTTCCATATTTGTATTTGCATCCATATCAGTTTGTGCCCCTCCCCTCTTGAAGATTAGGTTTCTTTCTTTTTTATCAGTGCATCTGTACAACTGATCTAAAAAATAAAATTCTGGTGTGCTTCTGGGCAGTTGACAGCCTTTAATATTACAAATTTTTGAAAACTCTTGAATCTAATTATTTGAACTAGTTTGGATCATCAAGTACTCATAAAATTCTATAAGTTCTCTTAGTGTGCCACCCACCTGTCAGTCTGAATGAAAAGCAAGAATTTGAAGGAATAACATATCATGTATGTTATGATAGTATTTGACTGAATTGTTAGCCATATTTCTAGAACTATAGGTGTTTAGGTAAACTTTCTTTTTTTTTTTTTTTTTTTTTTGAGACGGAGTTTCGCTCTTGTTACCCAGGCTGGAGTGCAATGGCACGCTCTCGGCTCACTGCAACCTCCGCCTCCTGGGTTCAGGCAATTCTCCTGCCTCAGCCTCCTGAGTAGCTGGGATTACAGGCATGTGCCACCATGCCCAGCTAATTTTTTGTATTTTTAGTAGAGGCGGGGTTTCACCATATTGACCAGGATGGTCTCGATCTCTCGACCTCGTGATCCACCCGCCTTGGCCCCCCAAAGTGCTGGGATTACAGCCTTGAGCCACCACGCCCGGCAGGTAAACTTTCTTAAGAAGAAAGTTACTTAGTCTAAGCTATTTGTTTCATGAGAGTAAAATGACTTGCTATCTTTGAATTTTTCTATTGAAACTGTTTTCCTGTATTACTGAAAATATGCTATTATTCAGTGAGAAACATCATATGGACCTTGTGTGTAACTTTCTGTCTCTGTTTTTGATGAATAACCATTGAGTTTATTTTTGAATGCTTCAAGCATGTTTCTTCTTTGACAGGAGTTTTATAGTATATGTAGAAATAACTGGAATTAAAGTATTTTATTGAATCAAAAAATCTTTATTTAAAAACATCAGTGCATAATTGACAATATTCTGGTTGATTCAGGAATGTATAGGGGCCAGCTGTATCTGCAGTCATCAGTCAGAATTTCAGAAAAGTTTCCTACAAGTCCCAAGGCTTTGGAATCTGTCAGTAATGAAAATGCAATTATTCCTTTGCCAACAATCAAATGGAAACCCTTAATTCGTAAGTGAATTGTAAGCTTTTATAAATATTGTTCAGAGACCTAATCCTGACTATCTTTGCCCTAGTTTTGAATATTACAGAGATAAGAACTGCTGTATACTTTATATTTTATTGATAAACCATGATGGTATTTCACATGTTAATAATGAATTTTTATTATCATTTAGAGCATTATTTCTAGGAAGCAGCAGTTGCTTCTATAAAAATGTTAATAAAATATTTCTCTATTTTGTTAACATTTTTAGAAACTTAGAAAAACTCTTAATTGTTCGCTGACTATGCCTAACTAATATTTAGCTCTTAGCATATTTATGTTAAGAATATTTAGGTAAGAATTATCTGGTTAGCACATCATATTCTTTGAGACATGAATGAATTGAAATCAAATACTGGACAACTACTTCTGTCATTATCTTTCTATACCTTGTATGTGTTTTTTACTACACATGTCATATTATATTTTAATTGTTTAAATGACTCACATTCTCTGTAAGACTGTGTGCTTTTCAAAGATAAGAGCCCTGGGCCATTTGTTTAACTTATATGTTTGAATTGAATTATGGTCAAATATCAGTTTATTCAATTACTAAACCCATGCATTTTTATTACAGTCATAACAGTTAAGACTTAAGAAATGTTATTATTAAGAAAATAATAATTTTCTTGTAGATTCTCCTTCCAGAACTCCTGTCTTGGTAGGATCTGATGAATTTGACAAATGTCTTAGTAATGATAAGTTTTCTCATGAAGAGTACAGTAATGGTGCACTTTCAATCTTGCAGTATCCATATGGTAAGTGAAAATATTGTTCTATTTATTTTATTTTTTAATTTAAAATTAATTAATAGAATTCAAATGAAGAAAAGTTTATTAGAGTATAGAAAATAAAATATCTTGGGAGACCATTTAATGAATGATTACTAACCATACAAATTCCAAAGTTAGGTTGCCAGGGTTGAAATCCCATTTTTGCCACATGCTAGGTTGGGCACATCTAGCACCCCTGTGTCTCAATTTCTGTATCTGTAAAGTTATGATAATAATCCTATTATCTATGTATTGAGTTGTTGTGAGGCCTAAATGAGAAAATGCATGCAAAGTCTCAGTTAACATCATGTGTGGCACATAGTGTCAGTAAACATTAGTTCTGGTTATTAGCTTTTATTTATCAGCCTATATTATGTAGGCTGTATAGTAACCTGTATAATGAAGAAAATGTGTTTTTCATAAAACTACATGAAAATGATGCACAATTAGGTTATTTTAATTTCTTACTCAGACAAGAGAAATTAGTGCAAATCAAGAATAGGTGAAATTTGTCATGAAATACATTTCTGTGTAGTAACCAGCAGTTTTTTAAAGTTAGGATATATTCAGATATGAAAGTCTTTTAAACAGTTGTGCAATTAAGAAGTCCCCAAATCTGCATCAGGTAAACACATAGACTCCTCATCAGTTACCCTAGATGCTAGCACTGGAAAGTTATTATGTAAGTTAAATCGATTAAAAAAAAACAAAAACAGCTCTGAACTAGAAACAGCAGCCTTTATCTTGATATTGATCAAAAGACAAGGTAGGCCAGGCATGGTGGCTGACACCTGTCATCCCAACACTTTGGGGGGCCAAGATGGGCAGATCACTTGAGGTCAGTAGTTCAAGAACAGCCTGGCCAACATGGTGAAACCCTGTCTCTACTAAAAATAAAAAAATTAGCTGGGCGTGGTGGCTCAAGCCTGTAATCCCAGCACTTTGAGAGGCCGAGGTGGGTGGATCGCGAAGTCAAGAGATCGAGACCATCCTGGTCAACATGGTGAAACCCCGTCTCTACTAAAAATACAAAAAATTAGCTGGGCATGGTGGTGTGTGCCTGTAGTCCCAGCTACTCAGGAGGCTGAGGCAGGAGAATTGCTGAACCCAGGAGGTGGAGGTTGCGGTGAGCCGGGATCGTGCCATTGCACTCCAGCCTGGGTAACAAGAGTGAAACTCCGTCTCAAAAAAATAAATAAATAAATAAACATAAAAAATAAAATAATTAGCCAGGCATTGTGGTGCACACCTGTAGACCCAGCTACTCAAGGAGGCCAAGGCAGGTGGATCACCTGAGCCCAGGAGGCAGAGGTTGCAGTGAGGCAAGATCACTGCATCCCAGCCTGGGCAACAGAGCAAGACCCTGTCTCAGAAAAAAAGACAAGGTAAAAGAGAATTGTGTAATCTGACCACATAATACAAAATAGAAAACAAAAAAGAGAGGCTTTTTTTTGGAGACAAACTCATTTTGATAGCCCAAACTGAACCAAACAGCGTGGATGTTTTCCTTTCATTTTGTAAAGAATAATTGGTGGTAAAATTGGGTATTTTATTGATAACCAAGCAAAAGGAAAGCTAAAAATATCTTGAAAGAAGATTGAGTATAAATTCTTGTATTTAAAGAACTGAATTATTAATGAGGTTATGAATGGAGTAGCCCTTAAGAGTCTTACTACTTAATACAAAGAAAATTTAATATGCTTATAGGATAAAGGAATATATCTATGTTTACAGGAGAAAAAATAGACAAGATGTCTAAAATGTGTTTAAGATGAAAAAAGGAATTAGTGTGATCACTCGTAGGAAAATAGATACATGTTAATAAAGATGGACCTATTTTGTATTACCTTTAAAAAAAAAACCCTTTAATGTTTCTATTTGAAGATAATGGTTATTATCTACCATACTACAAGAGGGAAAGGAACAAACGAAGCACACAGATCACAGTCAGGTTCCTCGACAACCCAAATTACAACAAGAATATCCGCAAAAAGGATCCTGTTCTCCTCTTACACTGGTGGAAAGAAATAGTTGCAACGATTTTGTTTTGTATTATAGCAACAACGTTTATTGTGCGCAGGCTTTTCCATCCTCATCCTCACAGGGTAAGAATCACTGTTGCTTACTCTCTGGTTTCCACTTCCCCACCTCCCATTCACTCCTCAACCCATTGCAGCCTGGCTTCTACCTCTACTGCTCTACCGAAGCTACTCTTGCCAAAGTTCTCAGTGATCTTCCTTGTGTTAAATGTAATGGACATTTTTCAGTCCTTATCTAACTGAACCTCTTTGTATTTGACACTGTTGAACATCTCCCTTTGACCTTTCTTGCCTGGCTTCCTTGACACCATGCTCTCCTGGTCTCTTTGGGTGTGATGTGATTGCTTTAGGACCTGATCTTTCTCATTCTCTCAGTAATTGTTGGTTTTCCTTAGGGCTCCCTCTTTTCAGTGTTCATCCCACAAACTGTCCTTGGATGGTCTTCCCTGCTTTCCCAGCTCTAATCTTCTTATATACTAATGGTTCCCATATCTGTTTCTCAGGAACAGCAATCTACTAGGTGCTACACAGACACTTCAAATGAACCATCTCAGACTGTCCTCATTTCCACTCCCAATCCTCTCCCCAGCCTGTCAACGAAAAGTACTGCCATATGCGGTCACCAAAGCCATGAATCATTTTTTCTCCCTTATCAGTCACCAAGTTCTGTCAAATTCTTCTCTTAGATGTCTTCAAATTTTTCTCCTTCTCTGTTTGTCAGTTTTCATTTCCCCAGCACAAATACCATCATCACACCTCTCCTGAATCACTGAAATAGCCTCTAACTGGCCTCTGTGCCCCTAGTCCTCAGGCTGTCTCCAGTCCATTCTCCACACCCTAACTCTAGCTGCATTTCTGGGCTTAAAAACTTCTAATATATGACCCCCCCGACCCCATTGTTGTTATACTCAAGTCCACCCTTCTTAGAACATGCAAGGTTCTGAATGACTCATACCCCAACTGCTCATGACCCATCCTTCACTGGTACCCTAATTCCTTCCTCCTCTCCCCCATGCTTAGCCTCTAGGCTTAGCCTCTTTCAGTCCTTCCTGTAGACCATGCTCTCGGTGACCCTGGTAGCACTCATCTTTCTAACCTTGCCTTGGAGCCTTGTTCCCCACCTCCTCTCCCTTCCCAAATAATTAACTCTTGGGTAATATCTTTTAGTTTGAAATTAGTTGTCATGTCCTCTGGGAAGTCGTCTTTAACCTCCTATTTCTGAGTTAGATTTTCTGCCTATGTCTACACTCTGTACTTCCCTTATTAAAGTATTTACTAAAATATTTAATATGTAATTCCTAATTTCTCTCTCTCTCTAGACTGTACATTTTTTTTTTTTTCCAGAGACAGGGTCTCACTTGTCTCACTCTGTCACCCAAGCTAGAATGCAGTGGCACAATCTCGGCTCACTGCAACCTCCACCTCCCAGAGGTTGATTAAGGTCAATGTAGTTTTCCATTGATCTTAATCACAAGGCATGATCATACAAAGAGATCCCTAAGTGATCTCGTGTGCCACCACATCCAGCTAATTTTTTGTATTTTTTGTAGAGATGGGGTTTCTTCATGTTGGTCAGGCTGGTCTCAAACTCCTGGCCTCAAGAGATCTGCCCTCCTCAGCTTCCCAGAGTTCTGGGATTACAGGCATGAGCCGCCACACCTGGCCTAGACTATACATTCTTAAGGACAAGGACAAGTCTACACTGTTTGCCACCAGCCTGTCAGCCCCTTACATGGTGCTTGGCACATAATTGGAGCTCAGTATAGATTTGTTGAATCAGTGACTAAACAGGTGACCCACAGTGCCCTCATTTGACAATAATAATTATTAACATCCTCTGGAAAATCTTTTAGGAGACGTTGGTAAAGAGACATTGCCTATTTTAATTTCCTGTTATTGAAAGCATTTTTTTTTTTTTAATAGAGACAGGGTTTCTCCATGTTGGTCAGACTGATCTCAAACTCCTGACCTCAGGTGATCTGCATGCCTCATCCTCCCAAAGTGCTGGGATTACAGGTGTGAGCCAATACGCCTGGCCTTATTGAAAGCATTTTTAATGCAGTCTACAAAATTGGTTGGGAAAGAAATCACTCTAGTCTTTTTGTTGTTGTTACTGGACTTTTTGTTTGTTTGCTTTTTTTTTTAACCTCATTTTGTCAAATCACTCTAGTCTTGCCCAGTTTATATTTATGCTTACATGTGTGCACTGTCTTCCTCTTTTTATCTAGTTGTGTATCATGCTGTACATATGACATAGCCACATTATAAAAAAACAAAATCCCCTCAAAGACTGGAGGGATAGCAATGGGAAGATAAACTGTTTTTCTTTCATAATAAAGCATAGTGCTGCATTTTATTTTCATAATGCTTTTATTTTTCTCAGTGCTACTTATTTATTTTTCAGTGTTATTTATTTTATAACCTAAGAATCTTAGCTAACTTCAGTTCCGCTTTGTACTGGTATTAATTTTGTTTTTCACCTTATCAGCAAAGGAAGGAATCTGAAACTCAGTGTCAAACTGAAAATAAATATGATTCTGTAAGTGGTGAAGCCAATGACAGTAGCTGGAATGACATAAAAAACTCTGGATATATATCACGGTAAGAGTGTTAATAAAATACAGATGTGTATTATAGCTTCTGATGGCAACCGTTTCAATCAAAGAAAAAATGACCTAAGTTCTTGTTTGTTTGTTTTTTTTAACGTGTGGATATCTAGATAAATAAAACAGATTTAACCCTCAATAAATAAATAAATTCAAGTAACTTAAATATAATAAAAATGGTATACACCCTAACAAAGATAAAAATAGAATGTTATAGGAGTATAGAATTTAAGCCACCAAATTAAGTTCTTATTCAAGTAGCTTAGCCATTTAGGGTCTACTATATACTAGGATTAGCATTTATAGTACCAAATAATAATTATTATGTTTATAAGAGTATACTATAAATCTCCACGTGTTTCTGAATCTTCATTTATTTCCATTATTGTTCTATCCATAACAGGAAGTAGAAATACGAGGGGAAAATACTAATAGAACAGATAGTTTTTAAAAGCAGAAGGGGGAGTGGATTAGCTAAAAGTAGGTAGTTTAAATAAAAGTAGAGAAGCTGTTAGCAACCTCTCAAGTATAAAATATCACCTTTGATGCACTGCGATACTCAACATGGTATTATGGTTTATTTTTCATATTACATGAATTATACCTACTCTTCTCTTTGTCTTGACAGCATCCTTCTTAACACTTTAGTGATACGGATACAAGGAAAACACATGGAATTATACTGCTTAATATCTAGGGTAATGATTTTATGGGAGAAAAGGTTGAAAATTTATTAAAGATAAATATGTATATTAGGCTCTCCAAGGAAACCGAAATGACAAGATGTACATATATACCTTATACATATGCATATATCTATATATATCTACTTCTATATAGTATATGTACTGCTAAAGCAAACACTATATCAACTTCTATATAGACATAGATGCACAAGCATATTCACAACAAATTAAGGAAATACTTGTGACAATTAGTTATTTTTGTCACCTGTCATGTGGTCACAGCTGGTATTTATAAGTACCTTCTTGCTCTATCCATCCCATATTCCCTTTGCCATCAGAGAACACCTCTGCTGGTTGTAGTTCTTTATCCAGTGAGGTGACCCAAAACCACAGTCCTGAAGGATCTGGGAGATTGGTAGTTCTACCTGGATTGGATTGTTGTAGTTTTCCATTGACCATAATCACAAGGCATGATTATATAAAGAGATCCCTAAGGGATCTCGTGTATTTCAAGCCTACTCTTTCTTACACCTCCACTGTGAAGCAGCAATACAGTTTCCCCTTGGTAGTCAGGATTAGTCACCCAGCCAGCACAGTATCTCTCTTTGTTGATTCAAAGGCATGAGGAGTTCAAAGTTGCTGGGCAGCAGGCTTAACTTCTAATTCAGTGGCATCATTATTGTATCTCCTGGTGGAAGTGTTCCTCCCTCTTAGACTAAGACCTCTAGGCCAGCCAACCACAAGGTCACAGGAGCAGGAAGCAAAAATTTTGCTAATGGATCACCAGCAGGTAATGGTGAGTGATGCCATTCCCATTTTCATCCCTTGATTCCTGGACCTGTAAATACTGGCTATTGGAGAAACCATGCTACATATTAGACACTGATTCAGAGCATATACAGCTTTCTGGAGAACCTTGCCCCAGCTCTGCAAGGTACCTACCTGGCAGTGTAATGAAGTCTTCAAAAGGCCATTCTACCTTTCTATCAAACCAGCTGCTTCAGGATGGGGAGGAACAGATAAAATCAGCCAATTTCATAAACAAAACAAAATTCACTAGGTGATTAACAAATGGTAAAGGCTACTTTAATACCCTTCATAATAAAAATACTAATATGTCAGTGATTGTCAACACCAGCAGGCAGTGAGAGAAAGGGCAACAATAAAGAATCCAACAACTCCCACGAGGTAGTCTACTACTGAAGTCACTCGTTGTTCATTAAACATTTATTCTGAACAGCTGTGTGCAGGACAATATTTCAGGCTTTGGGAGAAATAAAAAGACTGCTCCTGCCTTAGAGTAGCTTGAAGTCTGTGGGAAAGATGCTACTGGGTCAAACAAACACATAAGAAAAAAGTCATGAACCAAATCACTAAATCTATTTGTGATAATCTAGGAGGGCATCACAAATGAAGCCATATTTGAATTGAATTTTAAATTGTGAGAAGAGTTCGGCAAGTAGATGAGGTTTCGGGAGTAGAATGTAAGTAGAATATATGTGGTGTCATGAATAAAGATGTGTTTGTCAGACTGTTGTCAAGAAAATTAGAATAATATACTCAAAATTGAATTAGACTTAAATGAGGTTTTTCTTTAACTTTATTCAATATGAAGAATGCAGCTGTTGAGTCTTTAAAAAAAAAAAATACAGGAGTTCTATAATAATACGTAATGTCTTTTAGTGGCACCAACGTCCTAGGCACTGGTAAGAGCATGAACTCTTCATTTAGTAATGAGTTCAAATCCCAGCTCTGTCATTTATCAGCTGACAACTTAAGCAAAGATTATACTTGTATTTCTAGGGACTGTATCACATAGAAGATATTACTCTTTCTGGAAGATAATCTGTTTTTATATAGGTGTTTTCCTTAATATAGGAAGATAATTCAGTTGTCCCTCCAGAAGTAAGACATGAACTTTGTGGGCTTTTGCATTTGGGGAGACCGATTTTTACTGAGGTACCTTGACTGGCTATTTTTAGGAATACAGATTATTATTCTTCATTCTCTATGAAGATAATTGGCCCATGGAAGGTTGAAATCTATTGCTTCTTCTTAACTCCATGTTTTAACCAGCTGAGGCAACTACTAAATTAATGAGTATGTAAGTCATTTCTTAATTAATGCATTTATTCAACAGACGTTTGTTAGACTTTCAGTGTCCCAGGTAGTGCCCAATCTCTGGAAATACAAAGAGAAACAAGAATGATTTTCTCCTTTCTTGGCCCCCATAATGCAGTGGTGGTGGAACAAGGGAGCTGCTTACAAATAATTGCAAAAAATTAAGATTAAGTTTAAATACTTCAAAGTACTATGTGCAGTGTTATGGGAATGTCAAGATGGGGGTCTAAGAAAGCCTTGCAGAGATGGTGAGATGAGCAGAATGAAAGAAGAATAGGATTCATTAAAAGCAAAGAGGAAGGCCATCCCAGTGAAACAGAAAGTAGAAGCAAAACCTTGAAATTATGAGGTTTTTTTGCATGGTGCAAATTGCCCGGATTGTACAGTGCAGGTCCGTGAAGTCAGCACTAAAGGGAGAAACAGGCTGCTGAATGGAGGCCCCTGTAAGTGACAGATGGCAAGTTGGCTTCTGTCTGACTTGGTACCTCCAGTGGTAAGTAAACTGACTCATGAGGAAACTCAGCCCATATCAGCTTTGGTTCCTAGGAAGGTTTATGGCTAAAATAATACCTGGGTATAATAGGATTGATTTTTCCCATAAAATTTACAGTTAATTAGCTAAGATAAAAATACATTTTCTGTAATTGAATACAAAATGTGACAGAATGTAAAAGATTTGAGAATTATGAATATGATCTTTTGGTAGATGATAGGAAGTATTGGACAGCTCACATCAGTAGTGCAATAGCTGTAAGAACAAGTGATTAACAAGAGATTCCCAATTAAACACATATTTTTCATTTTAAATTTTTTTCTAGGAAATTTATAACAGTGTGTTTCCTTCATTTATACAAACAGAATAATTAAAATGCTATTAATCAAATTCAAAATATACTACTTATTAAGATGAATTCTATGAGTTTATACATTTTTATGTGTCATAAGATTGAACTGATTTTTACCTTGCCACAAAATTTAAAACTGTTGCAAACTTTTATAAATTTTACCTCTCTTTAAAGATATCTAACTGATTTTGAACCAATTCAATGTCTGGGACGTGGAGGCTTTGGAGTTGTTTTTGAAGCTAAAAACAAAGTAGATGACTGCAATTATGCTATCAAGAGGATCCGTCTCCCCAATAGGTAATGGTGTACCTTTGGTAAACTTGAAATCATCACAATGTGATCTAATCTTATGGGTAAAATATCCTTCTTACTATACTCTGTAAGCACCACAGAAAATGCAGTTTCAGACCTTTCAAATCTTAGTTTCTAAGTGCTGCCAAGTAACCAGCTATCTAAAAGTTGTTAGGTTGCTTTCTATCTACTTTTAAATGTCTTTGTTTTTGATTCTTAACTCAGAACTTTCCTATAGACTTCAATAAATTGCAGCATTTTAAAATAATTCTATATTTCTGTGTAATTGAGGAAAAGTACTAGAACAAAAACATTTGAATTATATTGTTTCTACCCAGTAATAACAAAATTAGCCAGGCATACCACCACGCCTGGCTAATTTAGAGTATTTCCTTTTGATTTTGTTTTCTTTTTTTTTGAGGCAGAGTTTCAATCTGTTGCCCAGGCTGGAGTGCAGTGGCGCAATCTCAGCTCACTGCAACCTCCACCTCCCGGGTTCAAGAGATTCTCCTGCCTCAGCCTCCCGAGTCACTGGGACTACAGGCGTTTGCCACCTTGCCCAGCTAATTTTTGTATTTTTTTAGTAGAGACAGGGTTTCACCATGTTAGGATGATCTCGAACTCCTGACCTTATGATCTGCCTGCCCCGGCCTCCCAAAATGCTGGAATTACAGGTGTGAGCCACCACACCTGGCCTTGATTTTGTTTTCTGGTCATAAATTTACCTAACTGGTAGCCAGTCGCCAGTACTGTACAGTTTTGTCTGTTGTTTTATTTGTCATATCCTCTATATTTTCATGTTATTAACAATATTCTAAAATATATTAAAAGTATTTTATAGCTTGGTAATAGTCCATTTAATACACATGCCATATTTAACCATTTTGTATTAATAAACAATTTGGTTTCTAATTTGTTGCAATTAGAAATAACTTTACCATAAAAAAAAAAACTGTGCTGTATCATCTTTTTATATACATTTTGGCAATATCTGTTTCCTTAGGATGGATTCCTAGAAGTGTGATTTCTGACTCAGAGCAGTGTAATGCTTAAGATGATAGGTTTCTAGCAATACCTTTTATTCTATCTATGTAGAAGGCTCTTGCTTCTTTTTTTTTTTTTTTTTTTTTGAGACAGAGTCTTGCTCTGTCACCCTGGTTCAAGTGATTCTCATGTTTCAGCCTCCCAAGTAACTGGGATTACAGGCACATGCCACCACACCCGGCTAATTTTGTATTTTTAGTAGACACAGGGTTTCACCATGTTGGCCAGGCTGGTCTTGGACTCCTGAACTCACCTGCCTCAGCCTCCAAAGTGCTGAGATTACAGGTGTGCACCACCAAACCTGGCTAATTTTGTATTTTTACTAGAGATGGAGTTTCACCATGTTGGCCAGACTGGTCTCGAACTCCTGACCTCAGGTGATTCATCTTCCTCAGCCTCCCAAAGTGCTGGGATTACAGGCATGAGCCACCATACCTGGCTAATTTTTGTATTTTTAGTAGAGATAGGGTTTCACCATGTTGGCCAGGCTGGTCTCAAACTCCTGACCTCAAATGATCCACTCGTCTCTGCCTCCCAAAGTGCTGGAATTGCAGGCGTGAGCCACCATGCCTGGCCTCTCGTTGATTCTTGATTAAATGCATGCTAATTGTTGTGCTATCATGTTATCTGGTAATCACAGTTTTTTCAAATTCCTGTCTGGGAGGGACAGGAATTGGATGGTTTGGGTACTAGGGAACTAATTTTTTTCTCTTGGTAAATAACTTTCGAGTTTAAATATGTGCCAGGTACTACATAGGCTATAAAAACTAAGCAAGGTTTCTCCCCTCAAGAAACTTGTACCTTTATGGTGCTTTTGTATGCGTACTCAAGTACAATGCAAGGTAGATTTTGACATTTGCCTCATCTCAATTAAGTATTAATAACTTCTCATGAAGAAGAGCAGATGTGGCCAAAAGGCAGTAAGGAAGTCAAACTTTGTGGAAATGGAGGCATTTGCTCTGGGTGTGCAGGAGTAGTCTTTCCCTCAGGAGACAGGTATGGGAGGGATGGCCAAGTGCATAAAATGGCCTGAGCAAAGGCTCTCGCAAGCAACTGGAGGTGGTATGGAGAATGGTGAGAGTTCTGGAATAAGTGGAGCAAAGGGTAAGAATGGGGGAGGAAGGAAGAGAGGAAGAAAAAGATAGGTTGGCCACGCACAGTGGCTCATGCTTGTAATCCCAGCACTTTAGGAGCCCTAGGTGGGTGGATCACTTGAGGCCAGGAGTTGGAGACCAGGCTGGCCAATATGACAAAAATTTCATCTCTATTAAAAGGCAGGTGGAGGTTAGTGAGCTGAGATCGCATCAGTATACTCCAGCCTGGGCGACAGAGTGAGACTCCATCTCAGGGAAAAAAAAAAAATAGCTTGTAGCAGCTTAAATGCCAAGCAAATAAGTTGGTATCTTATTTTGTAGACATTTGGGTCTTGGAGTAGAGAAAGCAAATAAGTTGGTATCTTATTTTGTAGACATTTGGGTCTTTGAGTAGAGAAAGCAATGTGATCAAAGTGGAGGTGACTCTGGTAGCAGCGTGTAGATGGCTAATGCAAGGAAAGGACAAGAGACAGGAATGTTCATTAGATTTTTTGGCAACAGTTTAGTTCTAAAATAAGAATTGAGTGTAAGGAATTGAAAAGGAGGAGCTGATAGGATTTGGTAAATGAATGTTAGTACCTAGAAGTTGTTAATTTAGAAAGGTACTAGGATTCTTAGAATGAGAGATTGGGGGACATTAATAACAATAACAAAGCACAGAGGAAAAAAATCAGAGTAGCTGATGTTCTCATGGGGAGGGAAATAGATGAAATTTGCATTTATTTGTGTTGCTCAGGGGATGGTGGGATCCCTAGAAATGTGAGATTAGGTCCATCAGAAAAGTTGTGAAAGCAGAAGATAAAGTCCAGATGCCTTTCTAGTTTAAATTTCATTGCCTATGATATTGTATAGTTGAGGCTTATACAAACAACATGCTAGTACAAGCTTGTGAGGTTGTAATGTGTATGCTTTTGGAGTGGTCCTTCTCCGTGTTCCTGAGTGAAGATGCTAGGGTCTCTTCTGAATATCTCACTCATACCTATTTGTCCTCCCATTGACAACAAATGTTAAGCAATAATCTTTAAGAGTCTGTAATGATTCATTTTTAGTCAGCCAAGAAAACTATTTGCATGTGCAGTAGATGCACTTGTAGCATTTATTTCCAGAATACTGAAATACTTGAAACATTTTTTGTGTGGCCTTTTAGAAGTATACTTTAGACTGGCTGGGCACAGTGGTCCATGTCTGTAACCTCAGCATTTTGGAAGTCAGAGGTGGGTGGATCACCTCAGGTCAGAAGATCGAGACCATCCTGACCAACATGGTGAAACCCTGTCTCTACTAAATAAAAATAAATAGTGGGGCATATTGGTGCATGCCTGTATTCCCAGCTACTTGGGAGGCTGGGACAGGAGAATCACTTGATCCCTGGAGGCAGAGGTAAGTGAGCCAAGATTGCGTTATTGCACTCCAGCCTAGGCAACAGAGGAAAACTCCATCTCAAAAAATAAAAAGAAGTATATCCTAGGCTAACTCTTATGTTTCTAATTTTAGTTTCAAGAAGGGATCCTATTTTATTACTTTTCTGTTTTCACTATTGGATATGAATACTTCAGATATAAACAGGCTTCAGTGTTGTCTTACTTTCTCTTTTTTTTCAGGCTAATTTTATTTTTTAAATTTTTCTTTTTTATTGATATATAATGCATCTATGTATTTTAGGGGTATGTGTCATATAATTTGTAAAGATCAAATCAGTGTAATTGGAATATCCATCACCTCAAATATTTTTTCTCTTTCAGGGAATTGGCTCGGGAAAAGGTAATGCGAGAAGTTAAAGCCTTAGCCAAGCTTGAGCACCCAGGCATTGTTAGATATTTCAATGCCTGGCTTGAAGCACCACCAGAGAAGTGGCAAGAAAAGATGGATGAAATTTGGCTGAAAGATGAAAGGTAACTAAGTTTGTTACACATAGACTTAAGCTAGTTTTTTGCTTGGGTGATCACAATATCAGTTTTATAACTTTAGGGATTTTTTTTTTTTTAAGGAACAGCAGAGTTCTGTTCTGTTTCGTTTTGAAAAGTTCTCTAGCCACTTGTGAAATTTTGATTTAGATTTTGTGAGCATACAGGGGTGGCTCACGCCTATAATCCCAGCACTTTGGGAGGCCAAGGTGGGAAGATTTCTTGACCCCAGGAGTTTAAGACCATCATGAGCAACATAGTGAGAACCTGTCTCTTAGAAAAAAATAAGAGAATTTACATTTTAAAAAAATTATTAGTTAAGGCTAGGCGTGGTGGCTTACACCTGTAATCCCAGCACTTTGGGAGGCCAAAAGTGGATGGAGATAAGGGAGGAAGAGGGAAGGAAAAAGAAGGGAGAAAGAGGGGGAGCAAGATGAAGGGAGGGGGACAAGAAGAGAAGAGGGAAGGGGAGGGAGAAAGAAAGAGGGGGGGAAAAGAGAAGGGGGAAAAGGGAGGGGGGAGGGAGGAAAGGAAGGAGAGGGGAGGGGGGAGGAGGGGAAAGAGGGGACAAGAAAGAAAGGAGAGGAAAAGGGAAGTGAAAGAAGGGGGGGGAGAAGAGAGAAAAGGGGAAGGGGAGAAGATGAAGAGGGGGAGGGGGAAAAGAATAATATATAGAAAAAAGAAGGGGGAGGGGGACGGGGGGAGAACATGGGGGAGGGAAAAAGGGGGGAAAAGAAGAAAAAAGGGAGGGAGGGAGAAAAAGGGGGGGGGAAAGGGAAGGAGGGCTGGGAGGGAGGGAAGACTGGGGAGGGAAAAAAAAAAAAGGGGGAAAGGGGGAAGAGAAGAGGGGAAGGGAAAAAGAAAGGAAAGGAGAAAGAAGAAAGAGAAAAGAAGGGGAGAAAGAGGGAGGAAAAGGGAGGAGGAAAAAGAGGGGGAAAGGAGGGAGGGAGAAAGGGAAGGGGAGAGAAAAGGTGAGGAGGAAGGAGAAGAAAGGGGGGAGGGGAAGAGAAGAAGAAGGAAGGGAGAAGGAGAGAGGAAAAGGGGAGAAAGGGAGGAGAGAAGAAAAGAAAAAGAGAAAGAGGGAGGTGGAAGAGAGAGAGGAGAGAAAGAGGGAGAGGGAGAAGAGAGGGGAAGGGAGAAAGAGGGGAGAAAGAAGAGAAAGACAAAGAAGGAGAGAGTAGGGCAGGAAGGGGGAAGGAAAGGAGGAAAGAAAGAGAAAAAAGAAAAGGGGGGAGGAAAGATAAGGGGGGAGAGGGGGGAGGGGGAGAAGAGGAAAAAGAGGGAAGGGAGGAGGAAGAGAGGAAGAAGGGGGGAGGGGGGAGGGAGGGAAAAGAAAGGAAAGAAGGGGAGAGGGAAAGAGAGGGAGAGAAAGGGGGGGAGGAAAAAAAGAAGAAGGTCAGCGGAAGAGGGAAGAGAAGAAGGAAAGAAGAAAAGGGAGGATAAGAAAGGGAGGAAAAAAAAAAGGAAGGGGGAGAGGAGGGGAGGGAGGGGGGGAGGGAGGAAGAGGAAGGGGGGCGAGGAAGGAAGGGAAGGGAAGGGAAAAAAGAAGGGGGGGGAGGGGGGGAAGAAAAAAAGAAAAAAGATAAGGGGGGGAAAGAGAGAAAAGGAAGAGGAGAAAGAAAAGGGGGGGGAAGAAGGAAGAAGGGGGAGGGGGAAGTGAGAGGAGAGAGCCAAAGTGGAGGGATGGAGAGGAGAGGGGTAGGGGGTGGGGGGCGGGGAGGAAGGGGGGAAGGGGGAGTGAGGAAGAGGGAAGGAATGGAAAAAACAGAAGGGTGAAGGGAAGGGGAAGTGAATGAAAGAGAAGAGGAAACGAGGTAGAAATGGAGAGGGAGCAAAGGGGAGTAAAAGAAGGGAAAGTTAAGATCCCATAGGAAAATGGAGCAAAGAAGGGAAAAATAAGCAAGAATGAGCATATGTGTCTATACAAAAGAACAATAAAATCTAGCTCTTGCCCCCCCCCCCCCCCCCCCCCCCCCCCCCCCCCCCCCCCCCCCCCCCCCCCCCCCCCCCCCCCCTCTCCCCCCCCCCCCTGCCCCCCCCCCCCCCCCCCCCCCCCCCCCCCCCCCCCCCGCCCCCCCCCCCCCCCCCCCCCCCCCCCCCCCCCCCCCCCCCTCCCCCCCCCCCCCCCCCCCCCCCCCCTCCACAAGAAGCAGGTCTTTTTCAGTAGGGATTTCCTGTGGCCAGACAAGTTCATCTGAGAATGAGTTCTCACCACTGGAATTCTCAGGAATGGGCCATGGAGACATCAGTGTGTCAGTGGATGCAGCGTACAACCTCCAGGACAGTTGCCTTACAGACTGTGATGTGGAAGATGGTACTATGGATGGCAATGATGAGGGGCACTCCTTTGAACTTTTTCCTTCTGAAGCTTCTCCTTATGTAAGGTCAAGGGAGAGAACCTCCTCTTCCATAGTATTTGAAGACTCTGGCTGTGATAATGCTTCCAGTAAAGAAGAGCCCAAAACGAATCGGTTGCATATTGGCAACCATTGTGCTAATAAACTCACTGCTTGCAAGCCCACCAGTAGCAGATCTTCTTCTGAAGCTACCTTGTCTATTTCTCCTCCAAGACCAACCACTTTAAGTTTAGATCTCACTAAAAATACCACAGAAAAACTCCAGCCCAGTTCACCAAAGGTGTATCTTTACATTCAGATGCAGCTGTGCAGAAAAGAAAACCTCAAAGACTGGATGAATAGACGATGTACCATAGAGGAGAGAGAGAGGGGCATGTGTCTGCACATCTTCCTGCAGATTGCAGAGGCAGTGGAGTTTCTTCACAGTAAAGGACTGATGCATAGGGACCTCAAGGTCTGTATTTGTGGAGCATCACCCTTGGGTTTCAATCTGACGTTTTGTGATTCAGAGCAGTACTTACAGTACTCTGAAGTACCCTTAAGAGTGGGGGAGAGTAAAAGCATCTAAGAGCAGAGGTCTGAGAAAGTAGCCTTGAAGAGTTGTGCTGCAAGCATAACAAGTCTTATGTCTGAAAACTTTAGGCAAACCATGCATTCATTCATTCTCTTTGGTAATGTGTTTGCTTTCATTTGACTGTAAAAGGTATTCCCAGTAGTCCAGGTGAGGAAAAAAAAAGAAAAAATATTTAGGTAGAATCTGCCATGAGCAGATATAGCCTGTGTTTTGTTTTGTTTTGTTTTGTTTCCTGTGGTTTTGAGTAACCCTGACACCAGTACCTCCAGGGCTCTGAAGCAGAATGGTGAAAGGGATCCAAATGGAAGGAGAGACCTGGGGTCCTTCATTAGCCAGCTTGAACTGGAGCAAATCTTCACACTGTTGCTTCTATTTCTGAACTGTTTAGACTTTGGGGGAAGGGGTAAGAAGCTGAATGGGGAAAGGTAGCAAATAGCCAGATGATTATTTATAGCTCTAAAACCTTGGATTCTAGTGAATATTGTAGTAATATGCAAAATTACTTAAGATTCTTACTAAAACATGACATTTCCTTAGTAGTGTTTCTAAAAATAAGTACAACATGACATTTCCTTAGTAGTGTTTCTAAAAATAAGTACATGGAAATTGTATTTAAGTAATCTCTGCTACATTCCATATACTCTTAGCAGTCACCAGTCGATGTGTAGTGAACATGTAAATACTTTTCTGATGAAAGTAGCTAGATGTGGGTCCATTTTAAATCTTTTCAGTTTTATGTAACCACAGACTTGTTTCAGGCACAAAAGTAACTATTTGGACACAAGTTTCCTTCTAAAATCAGCGATAGGTTTTCAAATTCTTGAGTATATTTTAAGTGCTTTAGGATAACAAGAATAGGAATTAGAAATAATTCTTATTTTTTCAATATAGTTGTTACTTATATATAATCCTTATGCTTCAGTGATTTTGATGTAGGCCCAAACTGATTGCCAAGAATTGTTCTCCACTGAATGAAAAGTTCAGAGATGAATTATTTCACTGGATTAGAGAAGACAGTTTACAGAAGACCACACACCCCTAATTTGAGAGAAACTAGCATTTAGGGTTGAATATAGTAAATGCTTATCACTAGGTGGAAAACAGCTAGCTGATATACACATTCTTCTTGTACTTAACACTTGCTGTACACACAAATGCCAACTTGAAAGACAATGAATTATGTTTTCACTGATAATTAATATTCTTCCAATTTTATAATGTAAATGAGATATTGGTAAATATCCATTTAATACTACAATGTTGTCTAAAGATTTTTCTATGTTTGTCTGTGCACCAGAAAAACTTAATTAAAAAGTTAGTATCCCTGTTAGTTTTTCTAGAAATCAGAAAGGTTTTATTCCTTTCTAAATAAGAGACAATTCCTTTTAAAGATTTCTAGTGTGCTCCCAACCAAAAAAAAAAAAAAAACAGCCAAGATTTTTATTCCTTGTTGAAAAAGCTGTACGTTTTGTTATGTTCTGACCTAAATCTTTGAGCTCAGTGTTAAACCTTCTAGGCCTTCTTCCCTTGTTATATTTTGGTCACATTTTTGTCATCAGGACTTGGGCTCCTCCCTTTTCAGACTGACTTCTAGTCTTCTGTTTTCTTCACTCTGAGCTTTTCTCAGTTCCTCTGATATAGTGTTCTGACAGAAACCTGGTCCTTCATTATTCTCATAACACCTGGATTATTTATTCTCTGGTTTTCTTGGGTATGAACCATATCTGCTTTTTTCACCTGTTATAGTACAATGCCTAAATGTTCTAGATTAGATGATCATACCATTTATTTTGAATTTTATTTTGTTTGCACTCAAAAGCATTTATACTGACTTAACCAGAAAAGGAAATCTGTTGGCCCATATGACTAAACAGTTGAGGATTCAGGTAAAGCTTTAGCTGAGATAAAGTGATTTAGCCAGAACCTGGTTTCTCTCCCCCGCATTTCTTGTTTCTGTTTAAGTCTTTTGGAGGTGGTGGGTTAGAGGGTAGAGAGAAAAGTATTGTTTTCTCCCACTATTTATCAGAAGTTTTATTCTACTTAAACCAAGCCCAGTCTCATCCCTCAACAAGACCAGTCTCTGGCCAGGCAATGGGATTCTGTGGATTGGTATAAGCAACTGTAAAGCATGGATGCCTTTCACACTATCCATGGGGTTTTGCTGCACAGTCAGTAAGAAGGAAGTTCCCAAAATAAAATCAAGATACTTCTGGTGGAAGCACAGAGAGGTAGATACTAGAGAGCCAAAAAGCTTGTCTATTATAGGGTTCAGTAAATAACAACTGCCATCAGAAGATAGGAGTGGGGAAGAAAGATGACATTTAATGCAGGATAGCCTATTATTGCCTCTGGTACAAAGTTATTTATTGGAGAGCTCTAGATTATTACCATAGATCTTATACACGGTAACTTCATGCTTCCAAGTCAAAATTGTATAATGATATTTTAGAGTTTGGGAATGAAATGTTATTTTCTGGCAGTATTTGAAATATGATGAAATTCAATTTCATGAGCTAAATGGCTTTCTTTTTCCTCATTTCAAGGGCTATGAATGATGGTCATATGGTCTACTTGCAGGGCAGAGTAGACTCTGAGGGAAAGATGATGTATTTCTAGGGCACTTTGGGTTTGAGGAACCCATGAGACATCTGGTGAGATGTATTCAATAAACAGTTTCATATGAGTTTAGAACTCAGGGCAGAGATCTGGGAGTAGATGCAGTTTTAGGAGCATATAGATTTTACAAGAGGCAGCATAGAGTAGTAGTAAAGAGCCCTTCTCCTTTCTCATAATCTGTTTCCTCCTCCCAGATACAAACCAAAAGATGTCTGTTTCATTCATTCACCAAATAGTAATTAGCTACCATAGAGCAAGAACTACTAAAAGCTGAAAGCTGGGCACATGACAGTGGATAACAAGGTCCTCAAAAGCCAGACTGCTCAGGTTTGATTCCCTGCTCCACACTTGCTAGCTGAGTAACCCTAGGCAATTTGTTTAACTTCTGGGCCTTACTTTCTATTTCTGTAAAATGGAGTTAGTACTCATCTATCTAATGGGATTGTAGTACATGAGTTAGTAGTAGTAAACTGCTTTGAACAGTGCCTAGCATGTTGCAAGTTCTGTTATGAACTTGTTATTATTAGTTATCATTATAATTATTAAGGCTTTAAGTCTTAAGTGTAGAGATGCTTGCCTGGGAAGAATATATAGAATAATAAGATTGAAGATTAAGTACCCTGATCCCTAGAGAATGTGCATCTCAAAGGGTTTAAGTAGAAGTTCAATAAATACTAGTTCTCTTTGCTACCCTTCCCTTTTCTTTGCCACCAGTACTTGTCTGACACAGAAAAATTGTCACTATTTTCATATTAGCTCATTTTATAGAGAAATATGCTTGAAAATACCTAGTTTATTGCATTTTTTCTTTGTAGTCATTTAAATAATTCTCTTTCTCCTCCATGCACATCCACTGTACTTTGTCTGTTGTATTCTTTCCAGCCATCCAACATATTCTTTACAATGGATGATGTGGTCAAGGTTGGAGACTTTGGATTAGTGACTGCAATGGACCAGGATGAGGAGGAGCAGACAGTTCTGACCCCAATGCCAGCTTATGCCAGACACACAGGACAAGTAGGGACCAAACTGTATATGAGCCCAGAGCAGGTGAGTGTTTTAGACTTTCACTTATTAGCACGGCAGCAGATGTACCTGATGAATCTCTTCCCATGTTTTCATTAAACCCAGTAATCTAAAACTCAGTAAGTCTGAAAATTATGAAAACTAGCAGTAGTGTTCCAGTCGTGGAATAGTGACACAGCTAAACCTGAATTGGGGATGGATTAAGAAAAATACTACACATAAAATGCACTCATCCCCTGAACCAGCACCTGACAGCAACCAGGAATTTGGAAAGAGACTTGGAATACCACCCTCCCAAACTTAATTCTGGTTTGCCTTGTGTATATTATGTCAGAACTGTTTTCAGAGCCAGCTAGACCCAGAGGCACTATACTGAGCTTCCCTCTGTGGTCATTCATAGGTAGCCTCCAGCATGTACCATAGTAGGAAATAGAGGCACACAGGCTGGCCTTTGTTGCCTTGTGGGCTGCTTGGCCTTCACAGGAAAAAAACTATAATCAGGACAGGGACTGGAAGAGCGGTGGGAGCAGGGCATCCTGAAAGCTTCAGGTGAGCACGCTCAGCCACCACCAGGCAAATGATCTTCACAAGCTTCTTTATGCTTAGAGCAGCAGGTCTCAGATGTTTGCGCTCAGTACCTATTTATACTTGTGGAAATAACTGAGAACCCAAAAGGTTTTCTTAACAAAATTTTGTCAATATTTATTATATTAGAAGTTAAAGGAGAAATTTATAAAGCTTTATTAAATCAATTAAAATAACAGAATTAAACGTGTTACATCTTATTTTATGAAAAGTAAGTATTTTCTAAACCAAAAAAAATAAAATAAAAAGTTACAGCACCAATTCGCTTGCAAAAAAAAAAAATTAGAGTGACATTTGTTTACATTTTTGACTTACAAAAGTGCTACATTCTCCTATCTGCTTTTGTGTTCAATTCATTGCAATATGTTATTTTGGCTGAAGTACATGGAGAAAATCTGGCCTCACACAGATACCTAGTTGGAAAAAGAACAATATTACATTTCAAGTAATTATAGATATTTTTCTTTGATTATATATCAAAACTTATTGATAGTTTCTTAAAAGCCATTTACACTGTGAAATCTAAAACCATTCATGAATGTTTTGTACTGTGGTACTTTTAACATCCTTTGGTCCATTTTGTACTTTGAATGGATCTTTTTACGTGTGCTTGATTTTATATTGTGCATTAGTCATTTGGAAACTATTGATTCCCTAAGTTTGGCAACTATTCCAAAAGTTGTCACAGTTCATATAATATAAAAAGTCACTTTGATTAATATGACCACAAATCTCACTAGAAAAGGCTTTACATTTTAGGAGGCTATCAAATTCCCACTGGTAGTTTCAAATCTTCCAAAATTTTAATTTTCAATTAAAAGCTCAACTTTTATCACTGACAACAAATACTGTTAATTTTCCTTGAAGTGGCCATTCTCACATTGTTCATCTTTTTTTTTCTCTTTAAAAAAAGTTTATTGCCGGGTGCGGTGGCTCAAGCCTGTAATCCCAGCACTTTGGGAGGCCGAGGCGGGTGGATCATGAGGTCGAGAGATCGAGACCATCCTGGTGAATATGGTGAAACCCCGTCTCTACTAAAAATACAAAAAAATTAGCTGGGCATGGTGGCGCGTGCCTGTAATCCCAGCTACTCAGGAGGCTGAGGCAGGAGAATTGCCTGAACCCAGGAGGCGGAGGTTGCGGTGACCCGAGATCGCGCCATTGCACTCCAGCCTGGGTAACAAGAGCGAAAACTCCGCCTCAAAAAAAAAAAAAAAAAGTTTATTAATTGATGTTTTTGAGATGGGATCCTGCTGTGTTACCCAGGCTGGTTTAAACTCCTGGCCACAAGCAATCCTTGAACCTCAGCTTCCCAAAGTGCTGGGATGACAAGCATGAGCCACCATGCCCTGTCTCATTGTTCATCTTTAAGAAACTGTCTGTCAGCCAGGTGCGGCGAATGTTTTTATGAATATTTTCCCATTTTGTCAGATCATTAAAAAGGTGTGTATTTAAAGGTTGAGATTTAGTAGATTAATAATTTTTACTGCTAAGGACATTTTAAGTGAAATGTTTTTTGGTTTTGCCCGTGAGCATGTGACAGTGAAGAATGTAATTGCCACGTAAGAGTCAAACCACCACAGCACCATTAGTAATTTGACATAAGGGTCAACCACCATAATTAATAGGTTATGTTACCTATGTAACAGCTAATGTTACCTATGTAACAAGCCTGCACATCCTGCACATGTACCCCAGAATTTTAAAAAAATTAAAATAATTATTAAAAAATAATAACCATCAGTTCAATAATGAAATAAAAATACTCATACAAAGTATTAAGAAAATGATGAGTGCTCACTTCGGCAGCACATATACTGAAATTGGAACGATACAGAGAAGATTAGCATGGCCCCTGCGCAAGGATGACACGCAAATTCCTGAAGCATTCCATATAAAAAAAAATACAAAAAATAAAATGATGAAAGAAGTTGGGCACCATGGTTTGAGCTTACAGTCTCAGCTACTCAGGATCGTGAGTTGAGAGGATCACTTGAGCCCAGAGGTTCCAGGCCAGCCTGGGCAAAATAGTGAAACCCAGTCTTTAGAAGAAAATGTAAAAAACTGTTTTTAAAAATGCAAGAAATGAAAAATAATGACATCTATAGGAAGTTTTCAGAGTTCCATTTGGAGATAAATTTATTTTATAGGACTTCATTACATAAGCATATTGCTGTGTAAGTGATTAGAATTCTGCTCAGTAGAAGGCAGGGAGGAACCAAGAAGATGGAAAACAAACATAAAAACTGATACTGGTGAAAACAGTAAAATCGCATCACCATGGTTGTTTCTAATAGTTTAAAATAAAGGTAATCCTCTCTAGCACATGGGATCTGCACACGTTTTCATCTGCCCTAGGGTGGGTAAAATTAGATGGGATCTCTAGATAATCCCCCCTTAATAGATACCTACTTAAGGGGGAGAAATCACAAATAAATTTAGAAATTAAAAAGGATACAGAAGAGATTTTTGTTTGTTAGAGAATTTCATAGATAGTCAATTGGTTGCAACCAAAAGTATCCAAACTGGCTTACATAGAAAAATTAGTAAATCTGTTGGCCCTGGTAATTGTATCATCCTGCTCAAATGATATGGCCAAGGCCTGGTGAAAGGAAAAATTAAAATGGTATGAAATATCAAAATACTATAAATACATATTTCTATCTGTAGGGAAAAAAGACTAGAAGAGCCACAAAATATCAACAGGCATTGCTTTTGAGTTGGGGGACTTTGAATGAATTTTAATCTATTTTGGACTTTCCTATATGTTCCAATTTTTCTACACAGTCATATATCAGAATTGATATTAAAAACGTTTTTGCTTGGGCCTGGTGGCTCATGCCTGTAATCCCAGTACTTTGGGACAGGTGGATTGCTTGAGCTTCAGAGTTTGATACCAGCCTGGGCAACATGGTGAAACTCTGTCTCTACAAAAAATGCAAAAATTCGCTGGGCATGGTGGTGTATGCCTGTGGTCCCAGCTACCTGAGAGAGGGAAGTAGAAAGGATCATTTGAGCCTGGGAGGTGGAGGTTGCAGTGAGCCAAGATTATGCCACCATGCTCCAGCCTGGGTGACAGAGCAAAACCCCTTTAAAAAAAAAAAAAAGTATTTTTGGCCAGGTGAGGTGGCTCATGCCTGTAATACCAGCACTTTGGGAGGCCAAAGCATCCAGATCACCTGAGGTCAGGAGTTAGACACCAGCCTGGCCAACATGGAGAAACCCTGTCTGTACCGAAAATACAAAAATTGGCTGGGTTTGGTGGCAGGCACCTGTAATCCCAGCTACTCGGGAGGCTGAGGCAGGAGAATTGCTTGAATCTGGGAGGAAGAAGTTGCAGTGAGCCAAGATCGTGCCATTGCACTCCAGCCTGGGCGACAAGAGTGAAATTCCATCTCAAAAAAAAAAAAGTTTTTAATCGTGTTTTTAAAAACTTACTATTATTTAAGAAGCTGGAAATAATACTTTTCATTTTAAATATTGCAAAAACAAATAAAAGGAATTCTATCTGGATGCTTATTAATGAAGGCTCACAACTTGGGAAGCCCTTCCCACCTAGCTCTATTTAAAATGGATGCCTCTCCCTTTACTCCCTGCCAGGGTCCATGCCATTACACTGGTTTCTTTTTACAGCATCTTTAACTCAGATTATTTTTTTCTTCCCTTTAAACTATCAGAATGGGACTTAGCTTGTCTCTCTTTCTACTCTAACACCTGAAACAATGCCTAGAATATGGCATAGTTTCATAAATATTTGGTAGATGAGTGAAAGTGAATGCCAGTGAAAAGATAAACACCAGGTAGTACTGGCCACCCAATACACACTTCTGTGCTGACTGTAGTGTGGCTTGTGGCTGCTGTGTGTGTGTATCTTGGAAACGGGTTGTCATTTGAGAAAGGAAGAGGTTGATGACAACTGATGCTATATTTGGTATTGTTGAAAATAACTAGAAAGTTAGGATAGCTGTAGAAATATGGCAATGTATAATAGTTAAAATTTGGTAGTTAAAAATGGACTGTCTTAATTCTCTTCTTAATGCTCTTTAAAAGTAGAAACTGTCACTTTATAAAGTGCTTCTTAAAAAGTTGCTCAAAATAGTTTAGCTGTATGAATTGTACAATCTTATGCAAGCCTTAGAAGCTATAGTATAACATTATTTTAAAATTATTATCAGAACTCTCTTAATTTTCTCATCCTTGGAATAAATGGGCAGGACCCATGGTTACTTTGTTATTGGTTGTAATTACAAAGAAATACAGGTTAAGTTCTAGATTTGCACAGCGATTAAGTCAGTTCAAACTCAGAAAGGATATAAACCTTCTCATTCCTTATTTTTTAGATATTTTGTAAATACAACGTTTCATGTGTTCATGAGGCTATATTTATTTTTAAAATATATTTACTAATATTAGAAATAATAAATTTAGTAATGCATCAGTCTGTCCTTTATGTAGGGAATATGGAAAGTATAGGGACATATAACAAAAAAGTAAAAATCACTTACCAAAAAATTTCTCTGAAATATTAACAGCCGTTATTTCCTTCTGCGTGTGTGTATATATTTATACCTTACTTTAGAAAATAAAATTGGAATTCTACTTTGTAACATTTTAGATACAATATTAAAATATAAGCATTTCCCATATTATTAAATATTCTTAGAAAATATTTGCAGCTGCATGGTATTCAACATTCATTTGGGACATTTTAATTACTTGTAAATTTTGCTATCAGGAATATCACTTGGGTAACTATCCCCATACCCAAATCTCTGCACACATTTTCATCTGCCCTAGGGTGGGTAAAATAAGATGGGATCATTTCATTAAGCAGGAGTAAACATTTATTACCAAGTTGCTTCTCATAAATTTGTGTTTATTTATATTCTCCAAATAGTGTGTGAGGGTGTCCTTTTCAGTTCTCCTATAAGTATTGTTTTTGCACATTTTTTTAACACTTCCCAAACCCCAGGGATGAGAGGTGAGGCGGGGTTCAGATTGCTACAGTCACTTGGAAGGGAAGAGGATGATGCAGCTGACGTGGTCACTGAAACTTTCCATCTTTTCTGTAAGCATAGAGGCGAGCAGGCTGTGCAGAAAGCCAGGGAGACAGATGCCAAGTACAGTTTAGAGGGGAGGTTGTGAAGGGATCATAAATGCTGACAACTGCCCTGTGACCACCTCTACTCCCCAGTTAAGAAGTACTGGTATGGAGCATTTCCAAAGTGCCCTTCTTTGGCTGTTTCCCAAATGTCAAATTATATCCCTAAAGAAATTTTCACAAATAAGGGAGTATTTCTGAGTCACCAAAAGGTCAATTTTAATTTAAATAATGTTTTCTTTACTCAAGTAGTTCTGTTGACATTTATTTGTTCATTTTAACAAATAAGTATTTATTGAGGGCCTTCTCTGTACTTAGCCCAGTGCTGGATGGTAGCAACACAAAAGAAGCATTTCCTTCCCTCCAGGACTTGATAATCTAGTTGTGAAGAATAAGAAATATACACATGAAAAATACAACCAAGAATGCAAAGTATCCATAATTAAGAGCCATAATGAAGGCTAACTACAGTTGATTAGTGGTTGGGAGTAATGAAGATTTTCTCATAAAAATGGGTGAGGACTAAGATGGTTAGAAATGAGAGATTTGCTTTAGATAGCCTTCCCTTTGAAAAACCTCACCTCAGGGGTAGTCAAGCAGATTTTCCTGGCTCCCACAAACTTTTTAGCATGGCAAGTCTCCAAGTTTCTAAGAGGCCTATTTTACTGATGCATATCTCAGAGGTATACCTGGGCTTTCCTTCTGTAATGCTGAGTAGTTTAATTACTCTTCGTGTAGTAGTGAAGTAAAGAGACTTGGGAGGTTAACTCTTTGCTAACATTTTTACACATATACTTGCATTTAAACCAATAAGTGACTAAGTAAACTTTGGGATTCAGTAATGCTGTAATATCAACTGTACTGTGTCTATGTTAATTTTTTAATTTTCTTTATATGGGATTTCAGATTCATGGAAACAGCTATTCTCATAAAGTGGACATCTTTTCTTTAGGCCTGATTCTATTTGAATTGCTGTACCCATTCAGCACTCAGATGGAGAGAGTCAGAGTAAGTACTCTCCCTGCTCAAAAAACAAAGGTTGAAACAAAATGATCTAACATTTACAAAAGAATTTTTTAAAGACTGTTCTTAATACCAGGAGGCTGGTTAACTAAAAGTGAAAGAGATGATGTGAGTAACACAGGGAGATGTTCTAGACTATTTGCTTCCATTTAAAGCTCAGTATTCAAAAACTTGTTTGGTTGGATTGCTTATTCTTAGTTTTTGCTTAAATTCATAATTTAACAATATTTTACACTCAGTAAGTTTGTAATAAGTAAAAATTCTAGGGGAACCACAAGGTAATGGGGGCTACAGTAATGTATATTATAATTATATATGTAACATACAGTATTTACACACTCATATATTTAAAAGCTGGCAGATTATGTACAATTAGGGTTTTGTTTCTTTTTCTCTCAAAATAAACCATGACCACAGTCTTTAAAGCAGATAGTACTGAAAGTCTTCCCGCCCACCCCCCCGCCCAAAACAGGGTCTTGCTCTGTTGCCCAGGCTAGAGTGCAGTGGTGCAGTCACAGCTCACTGCAGCCTCAATCTCCTGGACTCAAGCGATCCTCCCATCTCAGTCTCCCAAGTAGCTTGGACCACAGGCATGTGCCACCATACTGGGCTAATTTTATTTTATTCTTTTTGTTGAGATGGGCTCTGCCTATGTTGCCTAGGCTGGTCTCAAACCCCTAGACTCAAGCAGTCCTCCTGCCTTGGCCTCCCAATGTGCTGGGGTTATAAGCATGACTGAAAGTTGTTTTAAAGTAGCCCTCTGGGACAGGCATGGTGGCTCACACCTCTAATCCCAACATTTTGGGAGGCTCAAGCAGAAGATCACTTGAGGCCAGGAGTTCAAGACTGGTCTGGACAACATAGTAAGACCCCATCTCTACAAAAAATAAAAAAATTAGCAGGGCATGATAGGACATGCCTTGCAAGGCTAAGGCAAGAAGATGACTTTAGCCCAGGAGTTTGAGGTGGTTACAGTAAGCTATGATTGTGCCACTGCCCTCTAGCCTGGGCAACACAGCAAGACTGTCTCTGAAAATAAAGTTGGGCTCTGTCACATTCTTCCCTATCCTTCATAAGTAGCTGCCCTTACGTCTTCTAGTTGTTGTCCCTGGTACTTTCCTCCATATTTTCAAAGTTTAGACTCTTGTCACCATTTCTCATGTTATCAGTTTTAGATATTACTTACTAATCTCCAGCCATGGTAGAAGAGGATAGAATTCTCACATAGAGCGAAATAACTCATTTCTTCTAACCGAAAAGACTGCCAAATATTCTGTACAATAAATGAAAAGAAAAAAACCATCAAAATAACTAAATTCAGAACACCAGAAATAAAGACTCTAAAAGCTTCCAGAAAGGAAAATAAGACAGGTCTAACCTAAGTAAAGGATTAAGAATCAGATGGCACCCGGCGCAGTGGCTCAAGCCTGTAATCCCAGCACTTTGGGAGGCCGAGGCGGGTGGATCACGAGGTCAAGAGGTCGAGACCATCCTGGTCAACATGGTGAAACCCCGCCTCTACTAAAATACAAAAAATCGGGGGCGCGGCGGGCCGGCCTGCAGCTCCGGGGGCCTGGGCCGCGCAGGGCTGGCAGAGGCGCGGAGCCGTCCCCATGGCCGCCGTGCCGGAGCCCGACGAGCCCGCGAAGCGGAAGGTTTTCGGATTTAAAAATGCAGACTGCATACCAAAGCTGGACACACACAAAGCAAGCTGATTCAGGTTGTCACACGCCTTTTAAGCTCCTAGGAATTTTAGACATTGAAAATATTCCCTGCGCCCGGGATTCAGTACTGTATGGTTCGTTAGGATCTGTTGTGGCTGGCTTTGGACACTTTTTGTTCACTAGTAGAATTAGAAGATCGTGTGATGTTGGAGTAGGAGGATTCATCTTGATGACTTTGGGATGCTGGTTTCATTGTAGGTATAATTATGCAAAGCAAAAAATCCAGCAAAGAATTACCAGACAAGGAATGAAAAATAAGTTATTATATGAAGGTACCCACCTCGATCCTGAAAGAAAACAAAACAACCGTAACAGCAGCAATTGAACAACCTTGAGCATAGAAAACCAGACTCCCTGGAGTCAGCGTGAATGCAGCTAAGATCAACCACGCAAAACACTTCATGTACAATAAGCTTTCAATCAAGTAAAATAAAGTTTGTTTAAGTTGTAAAAAAAAAAAAATCAGCTGGGCATGGTGGCGCATGCCTGTAATCCCAGCTACTCAGGAGGCTGAGGCAGGAGAATTGCCTGAACCCAGAAGGCGGAGGTTGCCTTCGAGAATATTATCATGCAAGTGAAAAGACAGGGTAGGCGCGGTGGCATGTGGCTGTAGTCCCAGCTATGCAGGAAGCTTGAGGAAAGAGGAATGTCTGGAGCCCAGGAGTTTACTGCTACAGTAAGCTATGATTATGCCTTCTAGTAGCCTGGGCAATATAATGAGGCCCTATCTCTAAATAAATTAAATAGAAAGGGAAAAGGCAGCTCACAGAATGGGAGAAAATATTTGTAAATTCTATATCCAAAAAGTATCTAGAATTCAGAATATGTAAAGAACTATTATAACTCAACAAAAAGCAACTCAGTTTAAAAAGGGACAAGCAATAGGACTTTCTCTAAAGAAGATAAACAGATGGCCAATAAGCATGTGAAAAGATGCTCAACATGGTTAGGCACTAGGGAAATGCAAATCAAAACCACAGTGAGATACCACTTCAGCACAATCTAGGATATCCGTAATCAAAAAGGAAAATAGTGAGTGTTGGCTAGGATGTGGAGAAATTGGAACCCTCATACTTTGCTGGTGGAATGCAAAATGGTGCAGCTGCTTTGGAAAACAGTCTGGCAGTTCCGAAAAAGTTAAAGATAGAATTATCATAAGATCCAGTAATTCTACTCCTGGGTATATACTTAAGGGAAGTGAAAACATAGACACAAACTTGTACAGTTCATATGAGCATTATTTCTAATATCCAAAAGTAGAAACCACCCAAATGCTCACTGATGAATGGAAAAACAAACTGTGGTATTTTATACAATGGAAAGTAGTCAACCATTACAAGGAAGAAAATACTAATATGTGCCACAACATAGATGAATCTTGAAAACATGCTGAGTAAAAAAACCTAGACAGAAAAGTACACATTTGTATGATTCAGTTTTTATGAAATACTCAGAATAGGCAACTCCATAGAGACAAAGATTTCCAGTCTTTTCTTTGTGCGTTAATATGGCACTCTCTCTCTCTCCTCCTCCTCTTTCTCTCCATCTGTCCCTCCTTCTCTCCCCTTTCTCTATCTCCCTCCTCCTTCCTCTCTCCCTCCCCAAACACATATATACACATATATGTAAATTTATAAATACAAACACACATATATAGTCATCTTGCTATCCACAGAGGTGGATACCAAGGACTCCGCATGGATACTAAATCTGCAAATGCTCAGGTCCCTTATATACAATGGTATAATAGTTGCATAGAATGGACATACCTCCCTGTATATTTTAAATCATCTGTAGATAACTTACAGTACCTAACATAATGTAAATTCTATGTACATAAGTATTACACTCTATTGTTGAGGGAATAATGACAAGGAAAAAAATCTGTATTTGTTCGGTACAGATGCAACCATCTATTTAAAAAAAATTTTTTTTTTTTGAGATGAAGTCTCACTCTGTCACCCAGGTTGGAGTGCAGTGGCACGATCTTGGCTCACTGCAACCTCTATGTCCCAGGTTCAGGCAATTCTCCTGCCTCAGCCTCCTGAGTAGCTGGGATTACAGGCGTGTGCCACCACGCCCGGCTAATTTTTGTATTTTTAGTAGAGACAAGGTTTCACTATGTTGGTCAGGCTGGTCTCGAACTCCTGACCTCATGACCACCCACCTCGGCCTCCCAAAGTGCTGGGATTACAGGCATGAGCCACCGCACCCAGCCTATTTTTAAATTTTTTAAATATTTTCATTCTGTGGTTGGTTGAATCCTTCAATGTGGAATCTGTGGATGTGGAAGACAAAACTGTATATACATATATATTTCTCCTGTATTTTGAGGATAGTTGATGGAGTAAACATCTGTACTCAGGAAACACATATATATAGTTATTAAATCAGAAAAAACAATTGATAAGTTTTCTGTCTGATAAATATACAACCTCTTAGTCATTTCGTTAGAGTATCAAAACATATTTCTATGTTTAAACAGATCTGTATGTCAAAATAAACTTAATAAGTGACACTTTTTTTTTCTTTTTAGACCTTAACTGATGTAAGAAATCTCAAATTTCCACCATTGTTTACTCAGAAATATCCTTATGAGGTATGTGTAATTCTCATCTTTGCTTTTGTTTAAAATCATCTTTAGAACTTAAGGGGGTCTTTAGCAATCAACTCAGTTTCCCTGTTTTACAGATGAGGAAGCCTAAGGTCTAGAGAGGAAAGGGACCTACTCCTAAGAGCACAAAATTTATTAAAACCAAAGACTGGAGCTGGGGCCTGGCTTCTTCAGCCTAATGTCCAGTGTTCCATGCTGTAACACCTGTGAAGTTTATATGTTGATAAATCTTGAATTTCCTTAAATAATTAAGTTGAAGTGAGTTAGTATGTGTTCATTTTCAAATTGGAAAAAATCAAAGTTTATCTTTCAGTATTATAAGTATAATGAAGGGTTGCATTAAAAAAATGAACTTATAACAATAAATACCTACATATACTTAAATATGTTTTACTAAAAATTGTCATCATATAGTTTGCAAACTTGATGAATCTATTCCCAGGGTGGCTCATGAGAGTATATGTTATGTTCAAAGAGATTTTTTAAAACCTTTTAAAAGAAAAGGTGTTGGTTGCTGATCTCTGCTATAATTTTTTCTAATTAAAAATTTTATAGAGATAATTGTAGACTTACGTGCAATTGTAAGATGACTTTTTAAAATCAGATTATATCTATGTTTCAATGATGTGATTAAATAATCCTGTATCATATGTTAGAAAATCAAATTACCAAAGAATTGTCAATGATTTTTTTGAAATGAGGGGTGGCAAACTAGGGCCCATAGGTCAAATCCAGCCTGCCACCTATTTTTATAATAAAAGTTTTATTGGAACACAGCCATGCCCATTAGTTTACAAATTGTCTCTGGCTGCTTTTGTGCATCAGTGGCAGAGCTGAGTAGTTTTATCAGAGACTTGAAAACTCAAATGTGGTTCAAAAACTTAAAATATATACAGAAAAATTTGCCAGCACTGATTTTAAAAACTGTACAATGATCAAACCTGGCCCTTTAATCACAAAACAATTTTTCTATTTCAGTATGTGATGGTTCAAGACATGCTCTCTCCATCCCCCATGGAACGACCTGAAGCTGCAAGCATCATTGAAAATGCTGTATTTGAGGATTTGGACTTTCCAGGAAAAACAGTGCTCAGACAGAGGTCTCGTTCCATGAGTTCATCGGGAACAAAACATTCAAGACAGTCCAGCAACTCCCATAGCACTTTGCCAAGCAATTAGCCTTAAGTTGTGCTAGCAACCCTAATAGTTGACACAGATAATAGCCTACTTCTTAGAACATGCCTGTCCAAAATTGTGGACTTGAAAATTTCGTTCTTTGCTCAATTTTCTTGTGGACTACTTTTTTAATGTCAAATTTAAGCTGGATTTGTGGGCCTAACCTAATTTGAGCCAACTCTTGAATTTTGCTATAAAGAAAGGGCTATCTTTGTTGTTTGTTAGTCTCTTGAAACTGGCTGCTGGGCAAGCTTTATAGCCCTCACCGTTTGCCTACGGAGGTAGCAGCAATTCCTAAAATATATATAGTGAGAACTAAAATGGAAATATTTTTATATTACAGAAGAAGGAAAGTCCCCATGTGGTAACTGTATTATTCTAGAAACACGCTTTCTAGAGATACGATGATTTTTGAAACTGATTTCGAGAAAAAGCTGACTCCATTTTTGTCCCTGGTGGGTAAATTAGGAATCTGCACTATTTTGGAGGACAAGTAGCACAAATTGTCTAACGGTTGATGTCCGTAGTGTTATAGTCCTATTTGTAGCATTAAGTAGCTTTATTCCTTAGATGGTTCTGGAGTGGGTTTAGAGCTTTTTGTACTTTTACCTCCAGTAAAGGGAAAATGAAGCTTTTTTTATGTAAATTGGTTAAAAGATCTAGTTTTGGGAGGAAAAAAGCCGTAGTAAGAAATGGATCATATATATTACGACTAACTTCTTCAACTATGGACTTTTTAAGCCTAATGAAATCTTAAGTGTCTTCTATGTAATCCTGTAGGTTGGTACTTTCCCCCAAACTGATTATAGATAACAGTTTAATCATCTAACTTGCTAACATGTTTTTATTTTTCACTGTAAATATGTTTATGTTTTATTTATAAAAATTCTGAAATCAATCCATTTGGGTTGGTGGTGTACAGAACACACTTAAGTGTGTTAACTATTGTGACTTCTTTCAAGTCTAAATGATTTAATAAAACTTTTTTTAAATTAAGCATAGTTGACTCTCGTTTTGAGGAGTTAGTCCCAAAATGGTAGATTTTTAGATATATAAAATGGGATCATAGATCTAGGAAGACTCATAAACCTATCCTCAAGAAAACTTATTCCTAACCCATTTCAGACAGGTATCTTTTCATTTCCCAAAGACTTGGCAGGCTCTTTCAAAATTCACAAGATCCATAATTGATAGACATTTGCTCAGTGCCTACCCTATGCCAAGGACTGGGAATATAGAGAGGACCCTCTCCTAAAGGGAGAGTTCTCAGAGAAAAGGGCTGTGGTGATGCTAGTTGTATTGATATCAAGATATATCTGACATGTGCCACATGGAGGCATGTGGCATGCTGGGCTGACAAGGCATGAACCAAGGGAGACACAGCCTAGAAAGGTCAAAATGCATAGTATCTCCATCTTGCAAACTAATAATGTTTGCCACACAAGGTTATGAGCAATTTGTAAGCTGGAAAAACACTTCCCAGATCTTTGTGGCTGACTGTATATCCAGACACACGTGGCAGTGCTGTTCAAATGACTTCATTCCCCAGCTTCTGCTTGGTTCCTGGCCAGCTCATCCCCGTCAACTTTATCTCTTGGTCAGCCTGCTTACTAGTTGCTGTTCCTTTTCTCCCTTCCTCTTTACGCCAGCCAGGAGTGAAGATTTGTTGACTTCTGCCAGCACACCCTACTCAGTCCCCCAAAGATCATTTGACCCCCAGGACCCCTCTAGGAGCTACTAGTAGATAGATAGACACTACTATCACCATTCTACTTACAGTCAAACCCAGGTCCAGAAAGGTGCTGTGATTTGCCCAAGGTCACAAAGACAGCAGGAGCAGAATCGGGATCAAAACCTAGGTATTTAGATGCCTAGTCAGTGTTTTGTCTACTCCCTTGCACCAAGCTGTCAATGTAATCAGTTTTCTTTCATTTTAACCCTGGGTCAGCCTTTGCTGACCACCAACAGGAAAGCAGGCATAGGGTTGGGGAAGTTAAGAGGCTGAGCCAGCAACTCTTAACAAGTCCTTAACAGTAGCCAGAATGGAGACACCTGTGTTCTCACCCACAGCCCTTTCTACTGACTTCAAATCCCACTACCCCCTTTAAGTTCTGTTGTTTTTCTGGCATCCTTCCATCCCCTGCCCTTGCTTCTGCTTTTAGCCTGTTGTGTTTGATAATACTTACTCTCAGGCTGCAGAGGAGCCAGCAACTCTGATTAAGGTCAGCTCCCTTTTGTTCATTTCTAAGGTCTCAGAAAGTAAGGGGATACCTTGTAGTCCAGCAACATCCAGCATAAAGCCTGGTACTTGATTCCGTATTTGCAGAGTTGAATTTGAGGAACCTAGATATAACCCCCGCTATAATAAAAATTGGGCAAAAATGAAGAAGGAAAGATGGTTTAAAAATCCTGATGCTAGCTGGACACAGTAGCTCATACCTATAATCCCAGCACTTTGAGAAGTCAAGGCAGGTGAATTGCTTGAGCTCAGGAGTTTGATACCAGTGTGGGCAACATGGCAAGACCCCATCTCTACAAAAGATACAAAAATTAGCCAGGTGTTACGGTGCATGCCTGGAGTCCCAGCTACTCTGGAGGCTGAGGTGGGAGGATCGCTTGAACTCAACAGGCAGAGGTTGCTGTGAGCTGATTGCACCCCTGCACTTCTAGGCTGGGCAACAGAGTAAGACCCTGTGTCAAAAAAAAAAAAAAAAAAAAAAAATCCTAGCAAGGTGCAGTAACATGTAATCGCAGCACTTTGGGAGGCCAAGACAGGTGGACCACTTGATGCCAGGAGTTCGAGACCAACCTGGCCAACATGTGAAACCCCATCTCTACTAAAAATAGAAAAATTAGCTGGGCGTGCTGGCTCATGCCTGTAATCCCAGCTACGCAGGAGGCTGAGGCAGGAGAATCACTTGAACCTGGGAGGCGTAGGTTGCAGTGAGCTGAGATGGAACTACTACACTCCAGCCTGGGCGGCAGAGCAAGACTTCATCTCAAACAAACAAACAGAAAAAAGAATACTGATGCTAAAAACAGGTGAAAGGATCAAATTCCAGAAAGTTTTGTTTCTCTCTCTCTCTCTCTCTCTCTCTCTCTCTCTCCTTTCTTTGAGACAGAGTCTCACTTGTTGCCCAGGCTGGAGTGCAGTGGCTGCATCTCAGTTCACTACAACCTCCACCTCCCTGGTTCGAGCAATTCTCCTGCCTCAGCCTCCTGAGTAGCTGGGACTACAGGCACGTGCCACCACACCTGGCTAATTTTTTGTATTTTTTTTTTTTTAAGTACAGATGGGGTTTCACCGTATTAACGAGGATGGTCTTGATTTCCTGACCTCATGATCCGCCCACCTCGCCCTCCCAAAGTGCTGGGATTACAGGCATGAGCCACTGTGCCTGTACCCTAAATCCTGAAAGTCTTCTCAAGGAAGGGGATCTTGTGCTTTAAATGATAGGAGTAATGGGCTGGGACACTTGTTAGCACCCACATTGCTCTGCCTCCTGCTTTCCTCCTTTAGTCTAGCTGCCTGTCCCTTGTCTTGGGGGGCTACTGAGGGAAGAGCCACACAGGCCTGATGGCACCATGCCAAGAGAGAGCACAGGGTGCTCCTGATTCACCCTTCAGGGAGGCAGCAGGACTAGCCTGAGGACTCATCCCGGGATGGAAAGCCTATGAAAAATTTTGAAAACTAGTTATATAGTCTGCTGTTTGCCTACAAGGAGCAGAGAGAAAAGCAGACTTTTATGATGTTAGGATGATGGGGTTTTCTTACTGATTACTTTCTCTGGATGCATTTACAACAAAAGCTATTTTATTTCTGTGCCATTTTTCTCTTGAGAGAGTGGAGGTACAACAAGCTCCCAATCTAACCACTAGCCACAGTGGAGAAGTCAGGGGCTAAGTGGGAGCTCTGGATGTTCTTTGGCCCACCGCTGCGATCATTTAAGATTCCCCATAACTAGATTTTCAAGGCACTGCTCCCGAGACTTTCTGCCTCAGAGCCTATCCCTGCAACTACAGTAGCTGTCGCCAGGTGGCTCATTTTCACTGTTTTCCCCAAGTACAGTCATGCGTTGCTTGTCTGAGAAATGCATTGTTAGGTGATTTCATCCTGTGAACATCACAAAATGCATTTACACAAACTTAGATGGCACAGCCTACGGCACACCCGGGCTGTATGGTGCAGGCTATTGTTACAAACCTGGACAGCATGATGCTCTACCGAATACTGTAGACCATGGTAGCACAATGGTATTCGTGTATCTAAACATAGAAAAGGGACAGTAAAGGCCGGGCGCGGTGGCTCAAGCCTGTAATCTCAGCACTTTGGGAGGCCGAGGCGAGTGGATCACGAGGTCAAGAGATCGAGACCATCCCAGTCAACATGGTGAAACCCCGTCTCTACTAAAAATACAAAAAATCAGCTGGGCATGGTGGCACATGCCTGTAATCCCAGCTACTCAGGAGGCTGAGGCAGGAGAATTGCCTGAACCCAGGAGGCGGAGGTTGCGGTGAGCCGAGATCGCGCCATTGCACTCCAGCCTGGGTAACAAGAGTGAAACTCCGTCTCAAAAAAAAAAAAAAAAAAAGAAAAGGGACAGTAAAAATACAGTATTATAAACTTTTTTTTTTTTTTGAGACAGAGTCTCACTCTGTCACCCAGGTTGGAGTACAGCGGCACAAACTTGGCTGACTGTAACCTCTGCCTCCTTGCTTCAAGTGGTTCTCATGCCTCAGCCTCCTGAATAGCTGGGATTACAGGTGCCTGCCATCAGCCCCGGCTAATTTTTGTATTTTTAGTAGAGACTGGGTTTCACCATGTTGGCCCGGCTGGTCTCGAACTCCTGACCTCAGGTGATCCACCCACCTCGGCATACCAAAGTACTGGAATTACAGGTGTAAGCCACGGCGCCCGGCCCCAGTATTATAATTTTACGGGACCACTGTTGTATATGAGTTACCTCATTGACTAAAACATTGTTATGTGGCTTGTGACTGTAGTCGACAGTTGATGGCTGAGATAAAGAACATTCTTCAGCCTGTAAAGGTATTCTTCCCTTCCCCAAAATGTTCAACGCATCATAAGAACAAGCACGTCAACATAACCTAAACTTGCCAGATATTGCAAAATTTAACCATACAAAGTCCCACAGGCCATGAACTGCTTTTAAATTTCTTGTATGGACAATGATGTCTCATGTGGACAACAAATAGGCTGGGCACAGTGGCTCAGGTCTGTAATCTCAGCACTTTGGGAGGCTGATGTGGGAGGATCACTTACGCCTAGGAGTTTGAGATCAGCCTGGGCAACGTGGTGAAATCTTGTCTCTACAGAAAAATAGAAAAATTAGCCGGGCATGGTGGGGCACACTTAGAGTTTCAGCTGCCTGGGAGGCTGAAGTGGGAGGATCACCTGAGCCTGGGTGGTTGAGCTACAGTGAGCCATGATTGCACCACTGCACTCCAGCCTGGACTATAGAGTGAGACTCTATCTCAAAATAAACAAACAAAAAACAAACACAGGAACCGTATGTGCCTGGCTACTTCCAACAACTCTACTTCTAACAACTCTTAGTATCCCTAATCCCTTACTTGGTGCTTCTTTGGAGCAGCTGAGTAACTTTCTTTTCTGATTCTTCTTCATATTCTGGGGGATTAAGAAAAGGTTGAGGAAGGGAGAGGGAACAGAGAGAACAGCCCATGCAAAAGCATGGAAGGAGGGCAGGAGGAAAAAAGAGTTCTCGGCAGGGTGCGGTGGCTCATGCCTGTAATCCCAGTGCTTTGGGAGGCCGAGGCGGGTGGATCACCTGAGGTCAGGAGTTCGAGATCAGCCGGGCCAACATGATGAAACCTCATCTCTACTAAAAATTCAAAAATTAGACAGATGTGGTGGTGGGTGCCTGTAATTCCAGCTACTCAGGAGGCTGAGGTAGAGAATTGCTTGAACCTGGGAGGGTGAGGTTGCAGTGAGCCGAGATCAGGCCACTGCACTC